ATTAATTATTATATTATTTTTAAAAAAATTTTTAAAACAATATACTTGCCAGATTGTAGCTTGTTTGTGAAATTCTATATCAGCTTCAAACATTTTTCTAAAAAGAGATATTGAAAAGTCTACTGATGTATGTCCAACATCTAATTTTTTAGATGCAAATTTACAACCTTTTATATCAAGACATTCCTTTTGCTCCTTTGATACTTTTATACCAGAAAAAAAGTCACAATTTTTTATAGTTCTAATAATGTCATTTTCTCCATATGAATATTGTATATTTTTCATAGAGAAAGCTTTTTTAGCATCAGTTTCATCCCATCCAGATACATTATAGACACTTGCAAAATCAGTTTCTAATAAATTTGGATATTCTTGAAATTCTAAATAGTAACGAATTTCAGATGCTATTAAATTTCTATCAAATTTAGTAATATTTTGAATAGGCCACTATTTAAATAAATAAAAATTAATTTATATTTATTATAATATAAAATATTAAAAATTAAAAATTAATATTTATTATATTATAATATAATATAAAAAAAATAAATATTTAAAAAACAAATTAAAAAAATACCACATATTATCGGGTTTATTATCTTGTGAAACAATTTAAAAATTCAAAAAAAAAGTACAAAAAAGTATAAAAAAGTATAAAAAAGTATAAAAATGCGTGTAAAAATATTTAAAATATTTTTTTTTATGCATTTCTACATTTAAACTTACTTCTTCTATAAGTTCTTCACATTCTTCATTGAAGAAAATATAATTTTCTTCCATTTTTTTCAAAAAAAGACATGTCTCTAAAAAAAAAATTTTATTAAAAAGACTATTTTTCTCAGTAATATAGATTGATAGCTGATCAATTTGTGTTATGTATGAAAACATATCACATGATATTAATTAATCAACCGTACAGCCACAAAAAAAATTATACAGTCACACTAATTTTTATACTACAGTACAAAATAGCGTTTTTGTACAGTACAATTTATATGTATACTCTTTGTACAGTTGATTAACTAATATCACGTGATATTTTTCATTAATTTTAATCATGGAGAATTTTATCTAGATAATATATAAATGTGATGAATAATATTTTAGATTTAAAAAAATTCTAAGTTCTAAAAAAATATAATAAAAATTGACTATTGGGATGTGCTGAGGTGATGATAATAAAATGTAACACCCCTAATTAATTTTTATGTGATATAAATCCTAATCCCTAAATTTGACATAAATAGATAATAATATATATTACAGGGGTTGGGTTTACATTTAGTACTGTTCAGCTTTTTAATATAAAAATATTTGTACTATATGGTTTTTTAACATAAAAAAGTTTATATAATACAATTAGATTTTTATAATATATATATTATCATATGAATTTTATGCAAAATTTATATAAAATCATATAGTACAAAATAGCATTTTATACTATGCAATTTATTGTCATATTTATATTCATCTCCTATTATTTGTAATTTTTGTTTTAAAATTTCTTTTACAGTTTCTTGTGATTTGAATTGAATTCAGAATGTATAATATAACCTATTTAATCTTGTTGAGTTTAATACTATTTTGCCAAATTTGTTTTCTACCATTTACAAAAATACTACCTTGTTTACTTTTATTGGTATGTCCCAAATTTGACTACTGAATCTGTTATTGTGTATTTATTTTTTCCCTTTAATGGTACTCATATCATTTTAACTGTTCATTTGTTTAGATTTTTATTTGTAAAGCTTTTTGAAGATCTTCTTCTGTTTCAAAAGTTAGGGTCAAGTGTATTTTCTTTTATTAAGATTTTTTTCTTGTGATAAATTTATCCAATTCACTTTTTCATTAAATTCCTTTAATAAAAATGTTGTTTTTTCTTTTATATTTTGTCCTTTAATATTATTGATTTTTACCTATACTTTGTATCTTTTGACATTAGTTTCTATTCTCCATTTTTCATATTTTGATAAATTTGAGTCAATTGAGATTATTGAGTTATTATTTTTTATATCATTTTCTTTATCATTTTTTTTCCTTTCTTTACCTTTATCTTTTGTTTTTTCATTTTGATTTTTGTCTTCTTCCTTCTCTTTTTCTTTGTTTATTGTAATAAAGCCATGATTTGATGTTGTTTCTTGTTCTTTGTTTTTTTCTTTTTCTAAAATTTTTATTGTTTAATTATTAAGTTGTGCTTTTTTGATTGTTATTTTTTTTTTGTTATTTTTTATTTCTTTGTTTTCCTGTTGATATTCTTTTTTTGGTGTTGTTTTTTTTGATGGAGTTATTTCTATATCTTGTTTTATGTCTTTTTGAAAAGTTTTAATACTTGAATTTGATGAACTTGCTTCTGTTATTAGGTCTTTTTCCATAGGGACTGTTGCATTTTTATACTACGTTCTTTTTTTATTTTTTGATTTTACCGTTTCTATAATACTTGTTGCTATTCCTAATATGTTGTTCTTATTTTTATTTTTCTTATCTATCATGTTTATTGGTCTTTTTTTGCTTTTATTTTTATAAAAAATAAAAAAAAAACTCTATTAATTTTTCTTTCTTTTATTGCAGATTTTTTTATTTTTGTAGAAAAGAAGAAAAAGTTTTTTTTTTTTTTTTTATGTAAAAATTATTGATAATTTTTCTAAAATGACAAAATGATCAACAATAATTTCAATCATTTTTTAGTTGTGTCTAAGTAAAGTTCTGATCTTAACTAGAAAACAGCAAATATGATACGAATAAACATTGTAGACTTAGTTTAGGGCTACAAGTTCATATAAGATATATTGCACTTCTAGTAAATAGATATTGAAAACAAGAGACATTACAATTAACAATTTGATTTGCAATTTTTGGATAACTTTATTTAAGACAAGATTTCTGTCCAAGCAAGTATTCAATTTTAACAGAGAAGATAGCCATTGATCAAGGGATCTTTTTAAAAAAAAGTTTACACAATTTAAATTATTCCTTGTGTCACAATTTGTCCTTGAATTTTATTGATAAATTTGGTAAAAAAACAGTTGCCTGAATACTTTTGGCAGGTTGGTGTATATTTGAAACTATCTTTATTTATTGCCTAATTATGACTTAAAATATTTGACTTCATTACTTTCTACTCAAGTTTTTTTTAAGTAATTTCACAATGCCTTATTTGTAGGTCCATCTGAATCCTTTGATTATTTTTCTTTGTTATAATTAAACGCGATCAAAATTATATTATTCAATTGTTAAAATTTTCATTCACAATTGAGCATGAAAGTCTTTTGTACTTAAACTCTTGAACTCGCCATTATATCGGTTGAAGAAATTTTCCTGAAAAAATAACCCAATTGTTAATTAGATTTTTCGTAAACTAAAAATGGAAATTTAAATGCGTGCTATTATTATTATTTTTTTTTTCTTGTGTATGTCAAATCACTGGGATATACATGTCATGTTACATAATGTGATTTGTTATTTAAATTTATGCGGAGTGTATTTATTATATTATTACATTGTTACATTTGGATGGGATCTAGAAATATTTTCTAATCTTTGATATTAAAGCTTAACATCAGGGTCTTTAATGAATGCTGATCGATCAAGATGAAATATCTGAATATTATTCCAGTTTGAATGAAAAAATAAAAAAAAAAATTAAAATTAAATATAAAATAAAATAACTATTGTTATATTTTTTTATATAAATAAAAAAATTGATGTTCTCAATTATTTGCCATGTCTGAAGGAGGATTTAATGAAATTTTCTAAAAGAAATATTTTTCTTTAAATAACAAATATTAAATCCTTTTGTGTTAGTATATAAATCACATTATTTATACTAATTATAATTTATGTCTAGAAGAATGTCATCACATCAATCTTTGTACTATGAAAACAGATTTAAACTGAAGAAAGAAATTTTTTGATCTCTAAATTCCTTGAATGCAGTTAATGTTTTATTGTAATTTTTACTCATTATAAATATATATATATATCATTCATTACTAAATTACAAAAGAAAAGTATTATATTTTTAATTCAAATAAAAATTTGACTAAATAATTATGTTAATTCTAACCTAAACCAAAAAGAAAATGAAGGGGAATGAAGTTAAAAATTATATTGAGGTTATGTTATATTTAAAGTTAAATTAAAGTTATATAAGCAACTGTAATTTTTCTGCAATAGCGAGTTGTGTACGAGTCATATTAGCAAGGTAAACCACCATTAATAAATCCTATGAAATTCAAATAAAGATTTAATCAATATTTATATACAATTAATATTATCGAATAAAAACATAAAAAAATATTATTATTATTATTATTACTTGTAGATGACTATTAAACATTTTTTCAAATTCTAATTTTTCGATCTTGGGCACAACAGAGATTGTGTCCATTAAAAACCGACCAATATTATTATTCTCTGGTATAGTTCCATTCTATGAAACAAAATATAAAAACAAAATAAAAATTACGAGAGAAATTATAATTTACTATATTAATATATATTAATAAAGAATATTATATTATATTATTACTTACTAAAACCTTATTTACATAATCCGAAATTCTATCTAACATTTCTTGAACCGCCAAAATTGTTTTTTCAAGGTTATCCATGTCAGATATCAATGTTGTAGACCGATCAGGTTGATCCTTTGCGGAAGCAAGTAAATCAACTAATTTTTTTTTTTTTCAAAGAAAAGTAGTAATCAAGTTTAATATATTTTCAAAAGATTCTAAGCAAGGCATCGCGGCATTACTTTGAATTTTGTTATAACATACGTCCACTTCGTTCTGCATCAAAATACTTTATATCACATGGAACAGGTAAAAATAAACAGTTTTCGGGTTTGGCTGAAGTCCCTATCGGTGCACTGGAAATGAGAAACAAACCAATTTTTTAATTTATGATGTTTAGAATTATGTTATAATAATAATTATAGTAATAATAATAATAAAAAAAATAAAAATAATAATAATAATAATAATAATAATGTGTAAATATAATTAACCTGACATAAGTTTTAACACCCAATAACTTTTCTTCATTTTTAAGATCCGTATCCATTGTTAAATGAATTGCCTGAAAAGGAGGCAAAACTTCTTTCGAATAAAAATCTTGAATAAGCGCATTCCATTGATTGAGATTTGCACCCGTGGCATACCAGCCAACAATTACTTCCTTTGCATTCACTTTTTTGTGAAGTTCAAACATGCTACCGTGATATTCCATATCTACAGCAACCTATCCGAAAGGAAAGAATAAAAGAGTGAAAGGATAAGAAATTAAGAATAAAAAAAAAATAAAATATGCTTTTAGTTAAAAATCTAAAGAAAAAAAAAAAGACATTAAAAATAATATAACTCACTGAATGTACCTGATTTTGAGTTTCATCGTGAGGAACTGGAAAACAATTTCGAACTTCAACTTCACTCCCATCTTCACTTCTAACACCCAGTAAAGTACCAATAACTCTATGCTGATTTTCTTGTCTTCGAAGATAATGGTCAAGAATAGAAAACAGCACTACTGGATTTACCGATACTGTGAAAGATCGACTTTGAGGAATTACAAACCCCGTAGCAGCAGCCGTGGGAGGAAATGAGAGATTCAAAGCTGAAGTTGCCGCATCGATTGGCATGTTTACAAATAATCAAAAAAATCTAAAAATTGAGAAAAAAAAAAAAACGGGTTAAAATTGGATTTATTCATCCAATCATATTATACGATCAAACATAAAATTTTTAGATTATTTTTTTTTTTTATAGATAATGATTCAATAATTGTTGAAATATTTAAATTATTAAATATTATGTCGAAACGTTCACCAGAAGACATTGGGAACTCTCAAGTTGAATCAGTTATTACAAAGTCCCCTTTTAATAAACTCGGTCAAAAGTATGGGTCTTCAAAAAATGAAGAGGATATAGGAGAATTCGAAGATCCTTGGGAGGATGAATTCGAAACAGAATCGGAGGAAGAAATAATAGAGAATTCTGAATTAGATAGTGATGAAGATGGTAAGTTTATAATTAAAATGTGAGATTATGTTATTGGAAATTATCGTTTTTTGATTTCTTGTTTTTTTTTTTTTTTTTTTGGTTCTATTTTAAAGCAATGGAAGTAGAAGAAGAAGATAAAGAACAAGTTGAACAAGTTGAACAAGTTTATTTGCCTGGTCAAGAATTGGGTAAAGATGAAATTCTAGAAGCTGATCAATCAACATATGTGATGTTACATTCATTAAATGTTAAATGGCCATGTTTAAGTTTTGATATCTTATGGGATAATTTGGGAGATGAAAGAAAAATGGTTTGTCAATCAATCATTCTTTTAATCTTTATAATCTTTATAATAATAATTTACATGATTTTTAACAATTATCTTTTTTTTTTTTAAAAAAAAAAATTAATATAGTTTCCAGTTACAGCATATATTGTGGCTGGTACACAAGCAGATAAACCAAAAAACAATGAATTGATGGTAATGAAAATGTCTCAACTTTACAAGACGCAAAATGATGACAATGGTGATTATTTAAATTAATTAAATAAATCTAAATATTTAATTATCAAATTCAGTAAAAATCTCATAATATATATTTATAAAAAAAGATTCGGGTAAAGAATCTGACGATTCAGATGATGATGATGAAGCATTAGATGAAGATCCAATTTTAGAAAGTAAAAGTTTTAAACATTATGGGGGAGTTAATCGAGTCAGAGTTAGTGAATATCTTTTGAAAATTGATTATTTTAACTAAGATTATTATATTTCTTTGTAGATTATATTATATTATTTATTTATTTATTTATTTATTATTTATTTATTATTATTATTTAAGGTGATGCCTCAAAGAGATTGTCACATAGCAGCATCTTGGGCTGATACTGGAAAAGTTCATATATGGGATTTAGATCCATTAATAAAAGCATTAGACACTTCTGGTTTCCAAATTTCACAAAAAGCATTGAAACCACTTTATACCATTGAAAGTCATAGTATTGAAGGGTTTGCAATGGATTGGTCGGGAACAGTTCCTGGAAGGTTTACTCAAAAATTTTTTTAATAGGTTAATTTAGTTATTTTATTTAAGCAGTTGTATATTTAAAAGATATATTTTTTCTTTTACAGACTTTTAACTGGTGACTTGCGCACGAATATTTATCTCACAACAAAATCTCAATCCACGTTTAAGGCTGATCGTAATCCTTTCGTAGGTCACACATCTTCTGTAGAAGATTTACAATGGTCACCGGTTGAAATGAATGTATTTGCGAGTGCATCAGCCGATCAAACTATACGTATATGGGATATCCGAGGTAAAAAGAAACATGCTTTGTGTATTAAAGCTCATGAAACTGATGTAAATGTTATTACTTGGAATAGGTTTGTATATTAAATTTGCCATCGGAATATTTTCTTTATGGAAAACAAAAATTTAATTAAAGTTTAATTTTATTATAATTTTAAAGGAAAATGGATTATTTACTTGCATCTGGTTCAGACGATGGTGTAATAAGTATTTGGGATTTACGTACTTTTGTAAAGTGTGTAGAAAAGTTTATTCTTCATTTATTTTATATCATCCAGATGGATAGATAGATATAGATAGATATTGAACCAATAGAAAATTTATTGAATTTCTTTTCCTTATTATTCTAGTAACCAAGAGACACCTAGCCCTGTAGCAAATTTTAAATGGCATTCGGCGCCAATCACTTCTATCGAATGGCATCCTACCGAAGAATCTGTTTTGGGTGTTTCAGGTTCGGATGATCAAATATCAATATGGGATCTTTCGGTTGAACATGATACTGAAGAAAGTTCTCATAAAATCTTTGGGAAAGATGGTACAGAAGTACCTTCACAACTTATGTTTGTTCATCAGGTAAAGTATCATATATTTTTTACTTTATATTATTTTTTTTTAATAAATATTTTATATAATATTTCATAATATTTTTTATATAATAGGGTCAAAATGATATAAAGGAAATTCATTGGCATCCACAAATACCTGGATGTATGATTAGTACATCTGAAACTGGATTTAATATATTTAAAACTGTTTCGATATAAAATGTGTAAAATATATAGAGTTTTTTTTTTTTTATTAAATTACATGGAAAAATTTTGATTAACATGTTACGCAAAGATCATTTTTGGTTATTTTGTTTTGTAACAAATATGTATGGTGCTTATTTCTGTTAGTGTTTAGAACAAATAATTAAATAATTATAAAATAAAATCTTGATTCTAATTCGGTAGTTTCTTTACTCTTATTCTATTGTCAATTCTTGATAATAGCCGATAATGCTACGGTTCTGCTTGGATTGTATTTATCTAATTTATAATTCTTCAACCTGATCTGGATTTGTTGGATACGGATCCAGTTTGTTGTATTCGGATTATTCAAATCCATAAAAAATATTTGAAAATAATTTGAAAAAAGAATTTATCGATTGATCCGGATCCGCGGAGTCCGGTCGACCAGATGAATTATGTGCAGAATGTGTACACCCTAACTCTAAAATTTTTACCCAAAATTTTTTTAACAAATTGGACAGCGCCTATTTTAGAGATCGTACAGCTCGTACAGCGCATTACTCCGGACTCCACTTCTTTTCACTCCTTTTCGTATTACCTTAATGTATGTAATACGGCAGCAATTTTCTAATGATCAATGAGAGCTATCTTTATAAAAAGATTGGTTTCTTTTTCCCATTACCTTGTAAATTTTATAAGTGAACAATGAACAACGCGTCTGGTAGGTTTAGTCCGCTATAGCCTTTTACTAAGTTCTTCTAGTTGTGATTTTTAAATACTCAGATAGCGAATCCCTTTTTTATTTAGTTGAATTTATTGATAATCTATCACAGACAGCATCTTGTTACGGATTGCCGTATGGAATCTTCGGGATAGTCTGTTGGGTTATTACATTTTCTGGAACTGCCTTAACATACGCAAATTTTCCTCTATTTTCACCATGGCAATGGGGAAAAGATTATAAACCACAAGATCCATTACTGCTTGTCATTATAGGTGGTATGGTGATAGGACCAACTTGCTATACATGTGCCAGTTGTCGCGCAGAATGGGAATTGATACTTATCGCGCTTGGACAGTTATCTCCATTTGCTTTAAAGATAATTAGTGATGGTTTCGTAGGTGAAAAGAAATCTTATCGTACTTTTGGCATGATTTTAATGGTTCCGCTATCTATTCTTGGTTGGGTGGGTACTACGAGATTGTATATTCATTTGATGCACACGACAAAAGTTATTCCTTGGATATGGATAATATATACAGTAGCAATAACAGCATTAGTAGTAGCGTGCGTTGCGGGTAGCACCCAGAGAAGTAAATTTATTATCGTTATGGCATTGTACATTTCAGCAACCTTGCATATCATAACATTATTTCTATGGTTTCTGGTCATTGGATTGGGATTGCCCCTACAGGGGCTGGCCTGATATCATCAATTGTTTTCTTTGTTGGAAAACGTCTGCTATTTCTAGATTTTCAATATTAATAAGATTAAAATTCTGGTAGCTCGCTTGTAATTCTGTATCTAACATTATATTTTCATTAGTTAATTGATTTCTAACCGTTTTTCATGTGAGATATTCTGATTTTTAAATGTAACTGACATCTTTTATAACATATTGCCTAGGGACATTTATTTCTAAACATGTTTTACAAATTAAAATTTTCTCTACATAATAATTTTAAAACTAATAATTTATATAGAATAGAGTATACATAATTTAATAGTGACGCAATAAATTTCAACTTATTAAAATAAGTTTTTTTTTTTTGATAATATTAATTGTTTAAAAATTAAAAAATTTTAAAAAATTTTTTTAATTTTTTTATTTTTTTATTTTTATTTTTATTTTTTTTTACTTTAAATTTAAATTTCGTAAAATTATTATTATTATTATTATTATAAATATTTTAATTAATATTATTAAAATACAGGTTTTAAGGCATATATATACAAATTTTGAACCTTTTAGCATATATTTTTATTAGTACAAATTTTGTGACGCAGTTTAGTATACTTTTAATACAATTAAAGCTATTTAATAATTTTTTTACGAAATTTTGTATTTAATAAATATTAATTTAGATTTAATAAATAAATAGTATATATCCCAAAATTATCATAAAAAAATTATATATTTTTTAAATAAAAATTAAAAAAGTTTTATATGGAGGCACTTGACATTCGTAAAAATTAAAGAATTAACCTGGTAAGAAACGAATCATCAATCAATGCAAATGGTCACATAAAATTTCATTGATTTTTCCTTTTACCAATCTCTCTCTGAGAAATATATGCAAAAATCCATATGTAATTTTTATAAGAAAAACTTTAATTATTCTCATCATGATCGAAAGAATTGAAAAAATAAAAACGATTATAAGAAACTTTAATAGAAACACTCTCAACAACTGATAATTTGTTAATTCTTCAAAAAAGCGTCTTCATGGTCTTCATACCAAAATAGGTGCAGTGCATAAGATCTATTTCAAATAAATGCTGTACAAGAACTCAAAGACAAACCGAGTCGGCGAACGGTATATTCGATTTTAGCAAGACACATGCAACTTTCAGGTATAATCCCAAAATTAAAAAGGTATTATGATAAACTGTAAGTTAGGGTTAGGTCACAGGTATAAATTCTTTTTTGTGTTATGTATATAGTAAATCAACCATCAACCATCAACCATCAACCATCAACCGAACAGTCGCATTTGTCAATTAAAACGTTTTATCGTAAATTTATTCTAAAATAGGTTATCTAATTGAATCTCATCTGCCTTCTTCACGGAAAATACAAAGATTGTGTAACCGCATGATTCGGAACAATCGGTGTAATGAATAGTAAAAAAATTATTAGTCTGTTTAAGTACTTAGCACGCGGTATGATGTTTACAGTTTTTTTTTTTATAGACTCATTTTTTTAAAATATATTAAATATTTGCGGGTTTGTCTAACCAGATTCACATGATTCTTTATTGTCCGGAGCGAAGCGTAGGGCATTATACTTTTATGCACTATGTTTGAAAATTGATCGCCGCGTCGCGTCAAACAATAACGTTTTGATAATAAACAGTATCACAATCAAATCAAATTAATTTTTTTGAAAGCTTTATTTTATATTTTGTATATTCTTTAACATGTTAACTAATTAAACAAATTCAAATATATACTGCTCCGGATTTACAACGGTTCCGTTTCCTAGTTATATATTTCGATTGACTAATTTGAAATTATCGGAACATACTTAAACAACTTCCTTTCCTAGAAAAAAAAATAACTAAATAAGGTAATCACCCATCGGTCATTTTGTATAAATATTAATATTAATATAAATATAAAATTATAAATTAAGATAATAATAATAAGGAAGAAAAATTTTTTTTTTAATAATGGAGAAAAAAAAGAGGTTTCTGGATCATACGAAACTAATTTAAATTTGTAATGCCATGTTTAAATTTTATTTTTTTATATTTCGTGTTATGGTGAATTTTACGTTATACAAATAAAATAAAGTTTATTGTATCTTTTGCAAATTTGGATTTTTTTTTTTTTGATCTGAAAAAAATAATAATAATGATATTTCAAGATAGGAACTTTGAGAAATTTTACATTATGGAATTAGACCATCTACGGAAAAAAAATATTTTTCCCATTTCCATGATTTATGGATGATATTTTTTTGATTGGCAAATAACTTGATTAAAACGATTTTTTTTTTGAATCTGAAATAATAATAATATCGTACATGTTTAAGGAAAATTATTATTGCCTTTTATCCGAAAGATGTTAATAGAGAATTTGACTTTTAAAAATTCAAAGAAAAAGATGCCACCCAGATACAAGCGAATTTTTGATGCAAAAATAGGCAAAATATCAAAAATTTCTGGTCACGGGTGTTTCTCCGCACAATTACCCAATGAGATCGTGATTCTTATTTTTAGATTATTTTAGATAACTATTTTAAATTTTTTGTGCTCTGGACTCACAACGGTTCCCGTTTCCTAGTATGTAAAGAAAAAGGAATAAATGGATCAATTTGATTTACCTTTAGTAGAAAAACCTTATTAAATTAAATAGATTTTTCCACATCATGTGTTAATGTTCACGTTGCTCAATTTTGTGGTCATTAAGACCATTGGATGTCATTATATAAACACGTTATTTAAAGACACGCGTTTACATATTGTTTTTTATTTTTAAAAAAAATTATACTAACAATTTTAACCAATTAAAAAATGAATAATTTATACTATAATATCTCATAAGATTTAAAATAATTATAAATCATTGTAATTATTGAAATAATCATAATTTAATTATAGAAAAACTTTAAATGATAATTTTTGATATATATATTGATTCCATGAATTCAGATGAATCCTTTTCACACACCTCCCGAACATGAATTTGTACGAATTTTCAGGGTCCGAAATGTGGGGAACTAAATTAAGCAAGAAATGTCACAATGAGAATTAGACACGATATTGGTGTTGAACAAAGACTTTATTCAAAGTTCGCGCTTTTAATGGGTTTGAGTGACCTTCCAAAATAAGTGATATTATCTGAGAAGAAGCTATGTATTTCATTATAATAAATAGAACACACGGTTATTTGAGTGGTTCCTATGATTAAGGATCTTAACTTTAATCCGAATATTTGTATTCTTGTATTAAATAATAAAGTTCATTGTGAGTTCTTTCTCAATTTGTATTTTATTTATTTATTTTTTTTGATTTAGTGAAATAAGTTATAAGAACTTTGATACTGACCATTTTATATTGTTTGTATTCTTATTTTTTGTATTTTATCTTTTTATTTACCCTTGTATTTACCCTTGTATTTACCCTTGTATTTATCCTTGTATTTATCCATTTGTATTCTATTCGTATTCAATCCATTTATTTATTATTCTGTCTATTTGCATCTGTATTCTGTTTATTTATTTGCATTTATCTGTATCTTATGTATAATTGTATTTGTATTTATATTCTTGTCTTATATCTGCCGGTTGTATTCAACTTATATTTGGTTGTGTCCTGAAAAGTTAAACTAAGGCGTTCTCTTTTCTTCCTAAAATTCTTATCAACATGCTCCTTTCTTTATTATCATTATAAATATTTTTATTTATTTATTTTTTTTTTATTTTTTAAATATTATTTTAAAATTTTTTATTTATTTATTTAATCACTTTAATCCCTTAATCTGTCGGGCAAGCAAAATTTGCCTGCTAAAACAATGTAACATGTGAAAACCGACAATCCATGGGATAATGATTGTTTTTCCAATTCCCTTTGTACTCTGTACTTTGTCTATGTATCATTTTGTAATGTTGTTATAATGTCTTATGCTCTTCTAGAATTTTCTCATGTTTTCTGTATTGCTATATAGATTTTAGTCATTTTTATCGACGATCAAACAAAGATACGAAAAAGGTATAGTAAGTTTTATAAGTATTATCCTGTTACTAATAAAAAGTAAAATAAAATGAAAAATAGAATGAAAAAAAAATAAAATAAAATAAAAAGGAAGTTCATATTTATACAAAATAATCATAGACCAACTGTAAATCAAATGATGACATATATTTATATATAAGTATAATAATAAGTATAATAAGTGTAATAAATATAATAAGTATAAAATATTAACAAATATAATAAAATATAATAATACGCTAATATATATAATATATATACCTATTTTTGTATTTTTCGAAAAATATTATAAATTGGCCTACTTGTTCAAAAAAACTCTTTTTTTCTATATATTGACGATCCCTTTTTGTCTTTTTTTTCTTTAGCTAACTTTCTATTAATTCCATTAATAAATAACACGCTTATAGAAATGGACATTTATAGGAATACGTTTTGCTTCCGATTATTTAATTATCCACTTCAAATATCACGAGTTTTAAAAAAATTTTTCTTCTCTTTTACAGTATTATATTTAATATTAATATTGTTATACTTTAATTTAAAAAAAATCGGAGATTATGCAATATCCCTATAAAAATTTTTTTAACCTATACCATTAATGTTATTAATATTGATCAAAAAACATTCAAAGTGGGAATTTGTCACGCTTTTTTTTAAAAAGTACCTATATATACAAAAAATTTCGAATGGTCATATATGGTATGTAGTAGGTATTCATTTATACAAATAGATGTAATATAATAACTTATTAATTCTATTATATTTAATTTTTCTTCTGTATTAAGTAGGTATCCGAATTATTTATTATTTTGAAACATAAAAAATATATATTAAATTAAATATTTTATACAGCACCAGATGGATATATTATTATTTTTGGGGGTCTTACTGATAATAGTGTCAAGCCTTGCTGTATTAGATACAAACAAATCTGGTCATTTCCAAGTAATAATTCTCCACCTTCTATTTATGGTCATTCTGCAAATTTACATTTGGTAAGTAGATCGATGCTCCCTTTTTTGTTAATATACTGTTGCATTGTATATAATAAACGGAAAAAAATTGAATTTGAAAATGATTAAAATATAATATTTTTATTTTGACATTTTATTAATCATTTTATTATTTTATATTGTTTAAAAGACATCAATAATACACCCAATCAAGCGAGTAGTTCAAGTATGTTACAATTATTTTTTATATTATGCAAAGAATTATACTCTTATTTAATACTACCAAACTATTAAATAGTTCAAAATAAATAGATTGAAAGATTAAAGATATTAATAATTCATACAACCGAGATAGTAGTCCAAGTATATTTCTATTAAATACGTTCTGTTTTTTTTTTATTATACGAAACATTATTTATGGTTATAATAATATGCATTTTTATTTGATACTATAGAAATATAATAATAATGCTCTATTATATTTTTAAAATATTATTTTTTAGCTATATTAGACCACGGAGAAGACTCTACTTCTCATAATTTTAATGAACGCGAATGGTTTATATTATATTTTCAGCTTAAATAACATTCAAAAGTTTGTTCACATGAAAATATCATTGGGTTTTATGGAGTTTCACAAAAAGGTAAAAAAATATTATAATATTTTTGCAAAAATTCATTATAACGTATATTGTTAATTTATGCAGATTTGAACGAATACACCCTTGTATTGGAATATGCAAACGGTGGAACATTAGGTAGTTATCTAGAATCCAACTTTAAAAATTTCAAATGGAGTGATAAGTTAAATTTTGCTCAAAGCAATTAAACATTTGCACTCACATGACATCCTTCATAGAGATTTGGTAATTATTTAATCAATTTTCTAAATGTATTCTAATGAATAGGTTTTTTTAATTGTTTAAATTTAATATTTCATTTTTATAGCACTCGAAGAATATCCTTATTCATAATAATATAATATTATCAAGATTAGTGATTTTGGATTAGCCAAGCTTATCTCCGATCCTTCAATTACTTTTTTAAAATTGGTCGGGTCAATAGCGTATTCAGATCCTATGCTTCTCATTGAACAGGAAAAATTTAAAAGAACTAAAGCTTCAGACACATATAGTTTTGGAATTTTATTATGGGAAATTTCAAGTGGAGAAACTCCATACAAACAATACATACATACAAACAATACATAGAATGGTGTTCGAAAATGATTCACATTGTAAAAGGAAATAGAGAAACTCCAATCATAGGGACACCACAAGATTATATTAATGTGTACCAAGGTTGGTTGTTTTTATTTTAAATTAAATATACTATTTTTTTTTTTGAGTTGAAAAATAGTCATATATATTTATTTATAAATATACTTTTCAATAGATTGTTTGAAACAAAAACCAAATGAACGTCCAAACATTGATAAAGTTATGTAAGTTCTTGAACATTTAATTAATCAAATTAACTTATAAAATTTATCCGAACTATAAAACAAGCATTCCAGATTTTATTAGAGTATATTTGTATTATATCTTTGTACTATTCTTTAATATATCAAAAATTTTTAAAATTATCCATAAATAATATTTAATTATTTAAATAAATGAGTTAAATTTAAATAAGCGCGATAAGAAACTATTTTTCGCTAATTGTTTGTAATGACTTCTTATCACACAATCGTCCAAATTTACGTAAAGGTTTTCCGAGAAAAGAAATTATTATTAAATAAATCCATTCGTATTATTGAATGCGCCATATGAACACGGACAATAGTTCGTAATCAATATATTGGACGAATCTAATTTAGGTTTCAATCTACAAAAAAATAATCATCATAGGAAGAGACACGATTCTAGTGTATTAGTGTAGTGAAATTAAATAAAGATATTTTCACATGAGGACTATGGAATTGATTATGTACTTTTTAATTAAAATCGGAAGGTCCGTAAAATAAATTATTACATCTTTTAATATCTTTTGATACAGAGATAATTGATAATAATATCTTGAAAATTATTGTTTATTTTTAATTATATAATTTTTTATATTTACAATTAATTAATTCCAATTTATCATAATTTATAGAGATTTAAATGTTGGTGCGTTTGATGAATGTCAAGATGAAAGATAATTTCTTATAGACTAGCAAGAAAAGTAATTTTATGCATACATATAATATTACAATTATATATAAATATGTATAATAGGAATGTGTTCTGTTTGTATGATTATTTTAGTTATTTTTATTTTATTTATTTTTATTTTTTATTTTTTAATTCTTTAAAAGATTTGAATGACATTTTCCAAGTTACGTATTACAACGTGATTATGAACAATATAGTCAAGGTAAATAAATAATATTGGATAACATTAATATTACCCGGAGTTGTTGAAATCGATTATAAAGGTATTAATCAAAACTAAGATATACAGTATAATAAATTTTTTATTATTACTTTGTTATTCTATTTCAATAAATTAACAATTACTTACAATAAAATTAATTAATCAATCGATCAAGTAGAGATACGTAAAATCCAATTTCGATTTTTAAAAGAAACTAGAGAAGGAGGAATATGTCAAGAATGATGGAAATGTTTGGCTGGTGAATTAGCACGAAGATTACTGAACGAATATTATTTATGAATGAATGGATTTTGTGTTTATATTAATATTTAGAACTACTGTACATATATTATATCACCAATTATCGTAACTCTACTAAGCGGTGGGCATCTAGTTTATTATTAAAATCAAACAAAAAGTCAAATGTCGAATTCTATAAATCCACAAGTCCGTCATTAAAAAACTTGAGAAAATTATAAATAAAAAAATTTGCTAATAGAGAAAATGAAAAAAAATTAAAAGTTGGAACATTTTCGAAGGAAAGATTAAATAGGATTAAAGAAAATAAAATATATATTAATATATTTTATTTAAACTATATTATATTCAATATTAAATTATTTAATAAACATCCAGAGGGTTTTCTTTATTTATATTTACTTAATTACTAATAGTATTTAATAATTTATTTAATTTACATGATTATTTTTTAGACGCATATTGATCCTTAAATAAATGGACTATCATTTGAGAATAATAATAGTAACTATCAGCAACAGGAAAATAAGATTAAAGGCATCAAAGAAATGATGAAATTGAAAAATCAATTTCAACATTTAGAAGAATATTTTAATAATCAAATAGAACAAATTTAAGGTTTATTATCACTCAAAAATTCATTGTAATCTTAGTTGAAACATGTGAATCAATTTGATTATTGAAAGAGGAATTATTTTTTTATTTTTATTTTATTTTATTTTTTTATTTTATTTTATTTTATTATTTTTTTTTCTTTATCTTGTTTTATTTATTTTATTTATTTAATTTATTTTATTTATAAAAGTAAAAGTTATGATATGCACTTCGCGATATAATCAATTTGTTCTTTTGACAATCTCCATTTGTTGTGTAATTTTAAAAGAATACTTTATAAATTCAATTCAGATATAATTCATCATGTTGCTACATATAATTCTTTTTATTTTAATAATTAATGTCAAAAATGTTACTAAGTAACTCAAAAGTGAATAATAAAAAGTATCTTCTGTAAAAATATCAGACCTATTAATTCTAAATTCAGAGAATTATACACATCTAAATATTTCTGTTTTAATATTAAATGACTAACATTTAAATGTTTATTATTCTCTCAATTCATTTAGTTAAGGTTGAAAATTATATAAAAAAAATGTATTTAGTTTGTTTTTTAATTTTACTTAGTAACATTTTTAGTATTTACTTATAAAAATAAAAAGTTTTGTATGTAGAAACTATTATGAATTATTTCTAATTTTTTATATTATAAAAAAAAAAAATAGACATTTATAAATCACACCAGTGGTGTTTAACACCAATTAATTTTTAGTCAATAAAATAAAACACATAAAATACATAATTTTAAATGTAATGCCTTTTGGTGTAATGTATAAATTATACTAACATACAATATATTATATACATTATGCATCACTTAATTATATCATAAAACTTCTATAATTATATCATATACAATTCATATAAAAATATTTGATATTATTTATTAACCTTTGCTTTTTTTAGTTTTTTCTTTACACATAAAAATTTTTTAAACCTTTACTTTTGAAAAAAAATTATTTTTTTGTACAAAAATATTCTCCCTCTCTTGTTCACTGGTTTTGAAATTAATTGGCAGTATTTTCTAGACATGTTTGTGCATTATTCCTTTTCTTGTTACAAATTTCACATTTATCAAATCTATACATGTTCCCAAAATTGATTTCTAATTTTTGAGATATTTCACCTTTTTAAGATTTTTGAAATATCTATTTTATATATGGAAATAAAAAAAATATCCAGTCTAATGTATTTTCAATCAAAGAATTTATCTGTGCGATCAAAAAATTTCAGATTTTAAGTAAAATTAAATCATCTTCTATAAAAACTATTTTGACTTTTGAATCCCAAAATATTTCAACTTACTATAATAGTCTATTTTGCATGCAAGTATAATCAGATCATTATCATTTGATCTGATATCTTGCAATTTTTTTCAGATCTTTTTACATGCAGTTTTACCTGGCTCCTTTGTAAACAAGTTAGTTGAGTTTTATAATCTTTTTCCAATGGTAATACTGTTGTTTAATTGTTTAGAAAGTACCACTAATTCAATCATTAGTCAAATACAAAAAAAAATCACTATACCCAAATGGTAATTCCTATATTATAAATCAGCTAAAAATTGGTAAAATCAACTATTGTTACTTGTTTTTCTTCTTATTTTTATTATTATCTTTATAACTATTATTGGTCTTATTATTTATTATTAGCATTTATATCACTGGTCGAATGTTGTGTATTGCCTGAAAAATGGGCTATCTGATTTGATTTGCAAATCGGCCATCCGATTTTTTGATAATAAAAAAGAAAAATTGATCCTTGTTACATTTTTTATTAGTAAAACATTAAAAACGTTATTAAGTAAACTCATAGCTAAAAAAGGAGAGCACCTACTGAAAAAATTTCAGACCTAAAGCTCGCAAATTAAAGGAAAGATGACATTTAAACTTTGAATATCTGTTAAAATTTAAATGCCTACCTTTCCCTTAATTTGCGAGCTTTAGATCTAATATTTTTTCAGTAGGTGCATTTCTTTCTTAGCTATAGGTTTACATAGTATTGTTTTTGCAATTTAGTTATAAAATTAAAAACTTTTATATGTAGCTACGATCGCCGATTTATATATAATTCAATAATTTTACACTTTTATAAAACATTACTAAGTAAACCTATAGCCAAGAAAGAAGTGCAACTACTGAAAAGATTTTAGACCTAAAGCTCGCAAGTTAAGGGAAAGGTAGGCATTTAAATTTTGAACGGATATTCAAAGTTTAAATGTCATCTTTCCTTTAATTTACAAGTAGGTGCACTTAATTTTATCACATGATATATGATCTACAATAAATCGAAACAAAATCACATGATTGTCGAGTATTAGAACTTCTCGACACCATAAAAAAAATCATGGTTTCACTCGAAGAAAAAACAATCGAAAATTTTAATGATAATAATGAGTTTGTGATTGATGTTGAAAATTTGAATTTTGATTACGGAGGACCTCCTATCTTAAAAGATTTACAGCTAAGTTTGCGAAAAGGAAGTCGATGTTTATTAGTTGGTAAGCATTGTATTCTATGTATATTATGCCGAAATTGGTTTAATTAATGAATTTACTGGATACGATAATTTGTTCTAGGTGCTAATGGAGCTGGTAAGTTTTTTTTTTTTTTTAAAAAAAAAAAATAATAAAGATTATTAAAGAGTGTTAAAGAAGATTATTATTAAATTTTAATTAATCGATAAAATTGATTAATAAATAAAAATGGATAGGTAAATCTACTTTACTGACAATATTGGCAGGTAAAAGAATGGTGCATAATTGTAAAGTAAAAGTGTTTGGTAAAGATGCGTTTAAAGATGCACCAAAAGTATGCGTTATTATTATTATTATGATTATTATTATTTTACCTTAAAGATTAAGTTAATCAACAACACACGAATAATAATAATTTTCAGAATATTACATATCTTGGAACTGAATGGGCAAATAATCCTATCGTTCGAGGTGATGTATTAGTTTCACATTTATTATCTAATATGGGTGGAGACAAATATCCCGAAAGACGAGATGAATTAATTAATATATTAGATATTGATCCAAAATGGAGAATGCATCAAGTATCAGATGGAGAAAGACGTCGAGTACAACTTGTTTTAGGTTTAATTCAACCTTGGAACCTTTTATTAATGGATGAAGTAACGGTTGATTTGGATGTACTTGTACGAAGTGATTTGTTAAATTTTTTGAAAAATGAGACTGAGGCAAGGAAGGCCACCATTGTATGTTTAAAATAATTGATAAAATAATAATATTATTAAAAATTCTTTTTATTATTTTTTTTTTTATTAAATTTATTTTTCATTTTTTTTTTCCATTTTTCTTCAAGGTTTACGCTACTCATATTTTCGATGGTCAGTCCAATATTAAACAATTCCATATTTTTTTGTTTATTTATTAAAATAACATATAATAATATTATAGGGTTAGGTGATTGGCCTTCACATATCGCTCATATAAAGCGTGGAACTATAATAGATTTTCGAGATTTTTATAATAATTTTCCCGAATTTGATAATATGATAATTCATCAGCTTAAATTAAATTCTGAAAACATTAACAACGACAACAACGACAATAATAATAATAATAATAATAATAATAAAGAATTGATAACATATCTTCGAAGAAATATGGTTTCACCTTTATTAAAAGTAGTTGAACAATGGTTAAGAGAGGATCTTCGGGAATTACGACTTCAAGCTGAAGAAAGAAAGAAATTATCACAAGATCAGGATAAAGGCTTATTAGGTAATGAAAAACCAAGGACAAAATGGGATGACTTATCCGAAAATGTTACGGCTTACGGAGATAAATATTATAATTATTGGAATCATTAAAATAATTAAAATAATTAAAAATAATTAAAAATTATTAACTCTTAAATCTAGTAAATAATATAATTATAAAAATTCAATTCTATTTATTAATAATAATAAAAAATTTCTAAAATAATGAAATATTGCATCATTTAATATAAACAATAATTAATCAATTTATTTGTTTTGTTTTTTTTATAATAAAAATACATTTTGTAAATAAATATTAATTCATTCATCCAAAATATTACAAAACTTAATTTTCAATAATAAATCCAAGTATAACTGAAGATAAATAAATATCAAAATAGATAAATAAATATAATAGATAATTAAACGCTATCAAATGAAGAATATATAATTGCACTAAAAGCTTGTAATTCTTGGGTATCTCTGATAACCTATAATAAATAATAATAATAATTTTAATAATAAAATAATTAATAAATAAAATAATTTAACAAAATAAATAATTATTGATTATTTAATTATTAAAAAAAAAATAATAATAAATAAATAAATAAACATCATTAATTTAATTTTTTTTTTTTTTACTTACATCAAGGAATCTATTGGGTATATCATGAAGTATAACGTTCGCTCTTTTTGCAATAATTGGTAATAATTTTAAAAGTATCACATTCCTTTCAAAGATTTCATCAATAACTTCATTATTATTATTACTTTGTGGATCAACAAAATTTATGTATAAATCTTGACATAATAAATTAAATGCTGAATTCAAACAACTTGATAATACTGTTGCAAAATCCTGGCTGTTAATTTATAAATATTTAATAAATATTAATAAATATTATTAGAAATATTATTATTAATTTTATTGTTGTTAAATAGAAAATAGAAACGATTATATATTATTATTATTACTACAATAATAATTAATAAATAAAATATTTACAAACCTATGTAAATAATCTTTAGTCTCATCTAATAATTTCCTTAACTCTGAATCAATGAATGCTTCAAAGATACCATCACCTCCTTGATTTAAAACTGATAATTCATCTTCATGACTTTCAGGCATCATCACATTAGGAAATCTATAATTTAAAAATTCATTATTGTTATATTTAAATATTTCTTTTTTTTTTTTCGAAATAAAAAATAAAAATTAATGATAATTATTTAATATTACCCATGAGTTTGATTTCCTTCATCAACTTTTTCAATTCTAGCTCTTATTTCTGATAATAACCAAATAAAATGTTTATGTGAAATTTCTTTTTTCAATGACACTCTGATAATAATAATAATGATAATAATAATGATGATGATAATAATTAATTAATAAATAATTTAATTCATAAAATAAATAAATAAAATGAAATTAATATATATACACAAATATATATAAATATATATATATATTTTCATTTACCCAGATAAAATAGATTCAACAGCTTCTTTAATACGTTCTATAGCTTTTTTACTACCAACATTTAAAAACCACCATATAAAAGTTAAATATTTTTGTTCAGTTTTAGAACTTAACGTTGATCCTGAAGAAGATTGAATTTGAATTGATTGCTCTCTATCTCGTTCAGTAAGAGATACCACTGAATAAAGATAATTATATCTTCCTAATAGATTCAATTGAATTGTAAGTATTAAAGTGAGAAATGTTTCAAGATAAATGGCCGCAATTGTACGTATGAAACCTTTAAATAAATAAATAAATAAATAAATAAATAAATAAATATTAGAAGAAATAGAAATAAATATAAAGTAGAAATAAATAAATATAAAATAAATATAAAATGATTAAAAAACGTACTTTTATTTTTGACTTCATTTAAACACTCCAATTTAGATTTTCTATCAATTGGCTGATTAATTGAATTAGTTGAACTATTAATTGTAGTATTGGTGGTAATGGTGTTTGAATTATCTTGATCATTCTTATCATCCTTATCATTATTATTATTATTATTATTATTATTATTATTATTATTATTATTATTGTCATTATTATTATTGTCATTATTATTATTGTCATTATTATCATTATCATTATTATTATTATCATCATCATTAATAATAATTTCACTATTTGAATTATCTTCGTTTCGCGGATCTTTGTTATTTATACCATCAACATTATTATCAACATCAACATTAACATCTTTATCATCACCTTTATCATCATTATTAATTTCAGATATCGTAGATGGCGATGATGTCGAGGGTGCATCATTATTATTATTATTATTATTATTATTATCTACTATATCACTTGGTGTATCAGCAGCAATGTTATTGTTATTATTATTATTAATGTCATTATTATTATTATCATCATTATTATTATTATTCGTGTTATTGGTATCACTCTTTGCCTTTTGTAAAAATGCTATGTTTGAATTTACATCAAATTCTGTTAATAAATTCTCCGCTATAGTGGAAAGGTGAGCTACTACCGCGAAAGAACAATCCAATTGACGTAGTTGAAATCGACGTCGCATACTTTTTAATAATAATAATTATTATTATTATTATTTATTATTGTTATTATTTTTTGAGAATTATTAAAAAAAAGAAAAAGAAAAGGGAATTAGGAAAATTATAATAAGATTTGAATAAATATTGATAACAATTGAGATCGGAATAATTGTTGATAATTACTTTTCTCGAGCAATTTTTTCTTGTTGTATTTTTTCTTGTAATTCGACCATTTTCCAACTTGCATATTTCCCCAGACAATAAGCTCCACCGGCAATACATGTTGTAAGGATAATACCTTGTTGATGTTTTTTTAGGTACCTTTTAATCGCGGAAATCATTTTTTTTTATAAAAAAAACCAACGAGTAAAAAGGTATAAAAGATCCTGTAGATCGATCATAATTATTTTTAATTATCTGGCGCAGGACAAATTGTACTCTACGGATAGGGGATAATAATAAATAATAATAATAATAATAATGGTAATAATTAATAAAAGTTGTAACTTGAATTTCGATTCTTGTGCGTGTGTGAAGTATCAATTACTATTTTATGTCCAGACATTATATAAAGTTTAATCAAGTAGAGATTATTATAAGTAGAGATTATTAAATAGAGATTATTAATAGAGATTAAGCATGGATTATTAAAGCATAAGTAATCTTTATCATATGTTAAAATATAAAATTCTCATCTTTTTTATCAGATGGTTAACATTTCATCACCAAATAATGAAATAATATTCAAACTTGAGAAATCATTTCTTTAAATGTTAATAAGAATTTTTGATTACTTATTAAATACAAATTAATTAATCATTGAATAATGTAATAATAATAATAACATTTAATATATTTATTTGATTATTTGATATATTATATATATATGTATGTATATATTCTAAGTGATGAAATTTTATCAAAAAATTTTATCAACCACCCATCATCATCATCATCCATGAATGAAAGTTCCTCACTAAAAATAATAATCATATATTATCATCACATCACAATTATTTATCCTATCAGAATTTTTATTCTCATTATTCCCCCTTTATCAATGTCATTTTATATAATTTCTATATTAATTCTAAAAACTAAATTGAAATATTTTAAAAATAAGATATATATAAAAAAAACCTAATCTAAAAAAAAAAAAAAGGTTATGCATTAATTATTTAAAAAAAGGGAAAAATGAATGAAATGAATAAGTAAATGAATTAATTAATGAATGTTTCCTATCCTATATTATTACTTTTTTTTTTGTTTTTTAATTATTATTCTTTCTTCTTTTCTAAAGAATAAAAGAAATCAAAGTTTTCTTAAATTGGTATGAACTAGTGATGATAGTATAAACTAGTATGAAACAGTAAGTAAGAAATAATAAGAAATAGTTTAATGAATAAAAGGAAAATCTAAATCAAAAAAAAATTAATTAAAATAATTTTCAATAAATCTCACATAAATCCTTTATAATATGTATAAAATCTTAGATTTCTATCACATTAATCTTTTTTTCAATCTTTTTCATGTATATAAGACTTATCATAATTATTTATCCTCCATTGAAAGATTTAATCTTTTTTTGATTGATTTTTCAGTCCAAGAATGAAATGATAATTTTTTTTTTTGTTTATTTGATTGAAATTTAATTGAATTTGGTTGAAATGTGATGGTGAGATCTCTGGGACTCGGAAAGATTGTTACAATGAATTTTTGAATTTGGATGAAACCTGATTGAATTTGAATAATTAGAATTAATTGAATTAGGGTTGATTAAATCTAACACATGTTAAAAATAGAAAAGCCATCACTAATAAACATATACTCCAAACAATTAATCCTAATAATGCTACCATGTTGACTTCTGTATATACTACCAAATATGCCAAGATACCTCCAAATATAAAAATTATTGTCAAGGTTTCTAAAAAAAATATATTTAGAGAATATATATGTATATACATTAATATAAAAATAGGAAAATATAATAACAACAACAATAATAATAATATAAAAATAAAAATAAAAATAATATAAGAATGAAAATAATAAATGATAAAAATAAAATAATAAAAATAAGATAATAAATAAATAATATTAATTAAATAGAAATAATAAAAAAATCATAAAAAAAATAATAAATAATAGCATACTTATAACCATGCTCTTAAATGCTCTTCTCTTTGTATACTCGGCTACAGCAAATGCAATACTTCTATCTATTTTATTTACAAATTGTAATCTAGAATGTTCATCTTCATTTGTATACATAACTCCAAGAGTAACAAAGCCAAATTTCCGGGATGCTTCGGTTTTAAGTCTTTTAGTTTTTTCTTTAATCTGTCTTCTAATTTCTTGAGAACTACTTCCTGTACTTGGTACAACACATTTAACTTCAACTATCGCTAAAATTCCGACATTTGATATAAAAATCAAATTCCCAGAATCCAATTGACCTTGGACTTGTACTTGCCCTTGTACTCCTTGGGCTTGCCCTTGTACTTGTCCTTGTACCCCTCCTAATAATATTCCTCCTCCTATTCCTACTCCTACTCCTTGTCCTTGTCCTTGTGGCTGTAGTAATACTCCTCCTCCTCCTCCTCCTCCTCTGTCTTCTCCTTCACTCCATTCTGTTGCAAATAAATAATCAAATCCTGGAAGTAATGTTTGTATATTTTTAATAAATTCCGATTTTAAATTATATTCAATTTGATTAAAATTATTATATTCAGTTTGACTAAAACCCCTTAACTCTCGAACATATTGAAAAGAATTTCTTAAACGATCATCCCTACGAATATTTAATGGTATCAAATTTCTATGTAACCTTGCCGAAGTTTGTATGAGGTAACCCAATAAATCTCCATGGTCCCAATCAAAAATAAAATTTCCTCGGTCTTCGGTTTCCCTCAAGGTTGCCGAAAGAACTTTTGATTTCGTAATTTGTGCCGCTTTAACATATACTCTATTAGGTATTAATTCTGTTATAGTTTCTTTTTGAATGGTTTTAAGTAAAAGTCTACATACTTGAGCTTCTAATTCTTTGTCACTCATGTTTTTTTTTTATTATATATATGAATATATTTTGATTTTTTTTTTTTTAAAGAAATTATTGATATTGATGATAATGATGATAATGATGATGATATGATGACGATAATTTTTTTTTTCAAATGTAAATAATAATTACTTTTGATCAATTAAAAAAAAAACAAAAAAAAAAACAAAAACAAAAAACAAAGGATGTTAAATAAAGATTAAGGAGTGATGAAATTTATTAAATCCTAATTCTTTGTTTTTATAACAATGAGTAAAGATGATATAATAATAAATAATAATAATGATAATAATAATAATAATAATAATAATAACGATATCGAGATAAAATTTTATGAAAAAGGGGAATTTTAAAATGTTGATGTTTAAGGGGAAACCAATGCATGTATTAGATGCAGGAACTTTACCTTATTCATTATTTTTTTTAATTCATGGCACACAAAATGAAAGGATTTAAAAAACCCAGATTTGGAAAGAGAGTAACATTTTTATTCCATTAGAGTCATATTTATTTCCATAATGTATTGATTATCTTGGCCATATATTCCAGTTATCTTAGTCATTTGAATTTTTTGGGTATTTTGGCTTTACATTTCAATTCATCTTTGGAAAATATGAATGAATTACACTACACAAATATAATAGGTGTTTGCGTGGATTTTTTTTAGAAAGGAAAACAATTAACTTTTTTATGAAAATCCCTAAAAAAAGCATTGTATGAGTATTATGAATATATAAAAATTAATAAATAAAAAAAAAATATTAATGTATTAATGTCAAAAAAAAGAAATTGATCGGTTAAAAATATAAAAAAGATTACTATATATATATATAAATGGGCATCTTTTGTTTTAGAAAAAAAAAGAAGTTAGAAGTAAAATTCTTTTGTCGATTCTTTTTCGTGTACCGAAAGGAAAAAAAAAAATATACCAAAAAAGGGACATAAACATTAGATGTTTTATCATTGTCGCCATTGTCCCATTGTCCATTATTTAGTGATGAACGAATGATGAACGAATGATGATGATGATGAACGGAATAAACGGAAATAAACAATAATAAAACAATGGACAGAATATTTTTTCCATGTGACAGATAACCCGCAGAAATGTAATTAATGTAATTGTTAATTAATGCTAAATAATATTTCAAATAATATAAGTAATCGTAATTTATGAAAGATATAAATATTATAAATGTAATTTTTTTTTATGAATGCTATGTATTGAACAATATTAATAAAAATTACAAATAAGTTATTATTTTACTATTTTTATATATATTGCTTCTAAATGTTTTCTATAATAGTAATAATCAATACCAAGCCTTTTCTTCCCCATTCATATTATATTATTTATTCATTCATTCATATCAATCAATCAATCTATCTATTCATTCATTTATTCATTCATTCATTTATTTATTTAGTCATCCATTTATTTAGTCATTTCATTCATTTTTTTAGTCATTTCATTCAATCCTAATATGTGTATCCATTTCTCAAAATATAAAACATGATTTTCAATTTTTTATTATTATTAAAAAAAATTACATATATAGAATTAATAAAATAAAATACAACATTAAAATAAATTTATATATCTATATAATATAATATGAAGAAAATTTTAAAACAATAAATTTTAAACAATAAATAATAATTAAATAACAATAATAATAGAATATACATATATTTCTTATTTTATCATTTATTATTATTTATTCTTTTCTTCTTTTTATCTTATTGTTATTGTTATTATTATTATTTAGGTGACAAAGCCTTAACGATCCTTAATTGTACACCACCATCAATTGAAAATATACATTGAGTAATCGCGATATCATAACAAGACTTTTCGGCGAATTCGATGAATGCACATCTCTAAACATGACATAAAATGGACATTACATATACATTATTATACTCATATACTTTACTTATTAATTAACAATTAAAAATAAAATAAAATAAAATAAAATAAAAAATAAAATAAAATAAAATAAAATAAAAAATAAAATAAAATAAAAAATAAAATAAAATAAAATAGAATAGAAAAAATTCCTACCCTTTCAGGAACAACTTCTATCCACAAAATCTTTCCAAATTTTTCTTCAATGCCATCACGTAATTTCTTTTCATCAATTTCAAAAGGTAAACCACCAATGTAAGCCCGATTAATTCCATTTCCATCATAAGGATAATAGAATGTTGGTTGTTGATGATGATTATTATTATTATTATACGATGTACCTTCGTAAAAATAAAAAAATAAAAAGTAAGCGGGTAAGGAAAGAAAGAAGGAAGAAAGAAAATGAAGGAATGAAGGAATGAAGGAATGAAAGAATGAAAGAATGAAAGATTTATATAATAATAATAATAAATTATAATAATAATAAGTTATAATAAAAAGAATATAAGAGAAGAAACTCAACTCACTATTGAAATAAGATCTATTCCTGTTTTGATATCTTCGATTTTGACTTTGCCAACCACCATTATTATAATTATTATTGTTATTAATATAACTATTGTTATTATTATAATTATTGTTATTATAATTATTATTAAAATTATTGTTGTTATAATTATAATAATAATAATTATAATTATTATTATTATTATTATTATTATTATTATTATTATTATTAATATTATTAAAATTACTGTTAATCATTCGATTAACAGATTTAACGAAATCCACTTCTTTACGAGTCAAATCTTCAGCCATAAAACTAATATTAGGATCAATTCTAAGATCACAACCTAGATAATTCATTAAATTATAAATCAATCCCCTTTGAGCCATGATAAGATTATCTTTAACCATAGAAATATTTTGATATTGAAAAAGAATTGTATCTTTTATTGCAAGTTGATTTAAGATAAGAGAACAAGATGGACATTTTATATTTTGAATATTTTGAACGTTTTGAATATTTTGAATATTTTGAATATTTTGAACGTTTTGAATATTTTGAATATTTTGAACATTATTGGAATCTTTCGAATCTTCTGAATTGTCTGAATTATTGGAATTATTGGAATTAGGAATAGTAGAAGTATTATTATTAGGAGGAAGAGGAGAAACAGGAGGAGTATGAGTAGTTTGAGTAGGAACGGTATTAGGAATTAAATTAGTAGGAATTAAATTAGTAGGCATTAAATTAGTAGGAATTAAATTAATAGGAATTGAATTAGTAGGAATTGAATTAGTAGAAAAAGGAAGTAAATTTTGAGATTGATGAAAAAATTGATGAGTAGTAGATGATGGAAGAGGAGGTAATATTGATGGTTGCGATGTTGGTGTTTGTGGTGGTAGTGGAGGAGGTAGCGGTAATGGTAAAGTAGGAAATAATAACGGATAACATTGTGACGGTGTAATTGTTGGTTGTGAAAAAGGGGGAGGAATTTGATAAAATGGTTGGGTTGTTAATGTTGTTGCTAATTGAGATGGTGGTAATTGATATATATGTTGTGGTTGCTGTTGATGTTGTAATGTTGTTGGTGGTTGATAAATTTGATATTGAATTGGTTGAATTGGTTGAATTGGTGGTTGAATTGGTGGTTGAATTGGTGGTTGAATTGGTGGTTGAATTGGTGGTTGAATTGGTGGTTGAATTGGTGATTGAATTGGTGATTGAATTGGATGTTGAATTTGTGGTTGAATTGGTAATGGTGTAAGAGTAATGTCCATCTTATCTTTATATTATTATTTATTGTTATTCTTTACCTTCTTTATTATTATTATATTATTATATATTATATTTTTATTTTTATCTTATTTTTATTTTTTATTTTTATTCTTATTACAAAATATATCAGATAAATAGATATATGTCTATTTTTTTTTTTTGAAAGATGAACTATTCATAAAAAAAAAACTTTTATTTTTTTTTTTTTTTTAGTAATAATAAAAAAGAAAAAAAAAAGACACGAATTTTAATAATTTTAATCAACAATTACATTTAATATCGGAAATCCAATCCAAATCGTATTAAAAACTGCTACAAGACATTTAGTTATTAAGTCTACAAGTCTAAATTATTAACATTAATAACATTAGTAACATTAAATAACATTTTTTATTACTATTCATTTATTGCCTCAAAAAAAAAAAAAAAAACATCATGTCAATATTCATCATCAACAACAATCGTCACCAACATAAAGATATATCATTTTTTTTACTCGGTTTTTAATGTTAAATAATAATAATTAATGATATTTACAATTGAATACAGTAACATTTGTAATACTTGTAATATTTTTCTTTGCATAATAAAACATTCCAGTGTTTAAGTAATCCAAAAGAGATCGATAAATAATTATTTAATTCTGTCAAAGATTAAAGATTAATAGTGGTGGGGGTCATCTCTGAATTTTAATATTGTATTAGAATTGTAAAAGTTGTATACTATTATTGTTATTTTTTTTTTCTTCTTTTTTTATAAAAAATACAAAATTACTTCTTTAAAAGTCAACGCACGTAAAATTTTACTAAAACATAAACAATTGAAAACGATCAAAACAAATTAAACTATTCTCTATTTGTGTCTACCACCACAATTAAGTAATTTATAACAGAGACAAATAAAAATATTTTATATAGGCAAGTGAATACATATATTTAATATAAAAAATATAATTATATCCAGTATATTTGGTTTAGCTTATGATGCTAATAACTCTCTACTGAAAAAAAAAAATTAGTGTTGAATTTTTTTAAAAAAAAATCTCTTGAGACTTAATTAATTTATTTAGAATTAATAATTTTTTTTCACGAAATTCAACTATTATTGATTTTTTTTTTTTTTGATTTTTCTTTTTTTAATTAAAAAATTTCATGGCATACATTTAAGATAAATTCAAGATAATTCAAGAATGTACGAAGAGGATACATGTCATAAAAATAAATACTTGTATCGTACCATAATAAGAACAAATAAGAATTGTATTTTGCACATTGTTTGGATATTAATATTATCTTGATTTTTAGATATGATTATTGTTTCCCACTTTGGTTGGATTGTTACTATTATTATTATTATTATTATAATTATAATTAACAAGTTGTTATTTAACAAGCTTTTCTAGAGTAAAATTATACTGGTCACATTAACTATAGAAAAATAAAAAAGTAATTATAGAAAAATAAAAAAGTAACTATAGAAAAATTAAAAAGTAAACATCGGTGGTGATTCGAATATTTTTAAGTTTATTTCTTTAATACTTTAGATTTCGTAACTATGATAATTAAATTATGTTTAATCATGTTAACTAATAATATTTAGATGCAATAGAGGAAAAGTGAAAAGATAAAAAGTAGCGTGTATTTTTTTTACTTTATAATAATTCAATTATACTTAACTTCTGACCAAAATCACGTTACGTTAATATCGTTAATATCGTTCGTTAATATTAAAAAAAAAAGATTAAAACAATAAAGTCATGTTTTTTTAAATTTTTTTTTTTTAAAATTTTAATAATTTACGTTGAAATTACAAGAATAACAAGAAAAAAAAAATAACAAGGAAAAAGAATAATAAGAATAATTCCTAAACATTAAATAAATCTTTAAAATAAATAAATCTGAAATGAATTTAAAATCTAAAGTATAAATAAATAAATATATATATGTAAATATACAAATATATAAAATATATATATATATATATATAAATAAAAATATCTACAAATCTACAAAATTTACAAAGGTAAATTACCATGAACTTGTAATCTATATAAACAAGTGAATTTAGGATTTTCATGATTATTTAATATTTTAATCATAATAGCTCTTATACGATGATTTTCAAGTATATTAAATGTTTGAGTAGGTTTTCCTTCTAAATCATATTTATATTTACCTAAGAATAAATTGAAATCTTTTAAATTTTCAAATTCATTTCTTTTTAATTCACTTCCCTTATCATTATTATTATTATTATTGTTATTATTATTATTATTATTTTCAAATATATTATCAATCTCTATATTATTATTATCATTATTATTATCTTTATATAAAATAATATTATTATCATCATCTTCATCTTCTTTATTAATTAATCCCCATAATTCAAATTCTTTAGGAGAACTACTTAATGGATCAATAGCAACATCTTTTCCAATATGAGTATAAGTAATATGAGTAATTATAATACTTCTAGATAATCTTATGGCAATTTGACCTTGATCACCATTAAAACACCAACATTCACCTACATTAACATTAGGTGTTATAATCATTTCAGGTTTATTTGATTTTATTACATTCCTTTGAGTTAACATTCCCCATAATTTTTGATACCCTTTACTTGGCCATTCTTCGTAAGCACGTGAGGTTAGATGAGGAATTATTCGACCACCTCCTGAATATAATGCATAATCTGTACTAATTCCATCCATCATTTTGGAAAGTTGTTCATGAAGAACCTAAATAAATAAATATATATATATAATAATAATAATAATAATAATAATAAATAATTTATTTTATGTTATGTCAATTATATTAAATCAACGCGACAGGAATGTTAAAAGATTTACCTCATTTAATTGTTTCCTTACTAATCTTACTAATCCATTATTATTGTTGTTATTGATGTTGTTGTTGTTGTTAATAGAATTTAAATAATTATTAGAATTAATATCACCAGAAGCAATTCGTGACATTTCATGCTCAATAAATTCTTTAACTTGAAATTTTAATTCTTCATCTAATTTTCCATTATCTAATATTTTGTAAATTTTCTGTCGCCGTATATTATTATTATTATTGTTGTTGTTGTTATTGTTGTTTTTGTTGTCGTTGTTGTTGTTAATATTAATATCATCACCAGGATTATTATAATTTTCTATTATTATGGATTTATAATTATTCTTATAACTCAAAAAATAACCAAAGAAAATAATTATTGTTAATAAAAAAATCATAAAGAAATAATAATAAATTTTTTTGTCTTTAAATAAATTATATAAATTATATAAATTATAATATAAATTATTATTAATTGATGAATATTTATCATGACGATGATGATGATGATGATGATGATAATTATTTGTTTGATCTCTAGAAATTATTTGAGATGATGATGATGATGATGATGACCCAAATTCATTTTTAATATGAATATCTTTATCCATGAAAGAATTGAATAACATTGAAGTTGTTCTTTTTGATCTTTTCACTAAGTTATTCTTTAAATTATTCAAATTCTTCTTGATATTCTTTTTGTTACCATTATGATTGTTATCATAATGATTAACCTTGTTGTTATTGTTATCATAATGGTTAATCATGTTGTTATTGTTATCATAATGATTAATCATGTTGTTATTGTTATCATAATGATTAATCATGTTGTTATTGTTATTGTTGTTATCATTATTGTTATTGTTATTGTTGTTGTTGGAATAAAGATTTGAATTTTGTCTACTAATATAATTTGGACAAAATATATCTAAATCATTATCATCATCATCATCATCAAATTTACCAAAATTATCAAAATTATCATCCACAACAGCATCACAATTAATATTTTCACAACCAATTTTACCACAACCGATATTATTATTATTATTATTATTACTATTATTATTATTATTATTATTATTATTAATTCCGGGACATTTTAAAAATTCGAATTCGATTCCGGCTTTAATAAATTGTTTTTTATATTTTCGATATAAACCCCTTTTCATTTTATAATAAACCACTTGATTCAATGCATCAATATTATTCACGAACCAATATTCTTCTGATATGGGATTATAAAGTTCTCGAATTTCATCGGATTCCAAAATCATCTCTAAACACCTTTTGGCATCTTCCTTTATACGAGGGACCGATAAATTATAGGCGGCATCTAAATCTCGATGGGTTGGAAAATTTGGATTATACATCCGTTGAAGACTGGTTATACTACGTGTTATAGGTGACATGATTTTAAAGTTCCCTAAAAAAAAAATAAAATAATCGGAATATAAGGAAAGGTTTTTAAATTATAAGATAATTATAAATTTAAGTTTTGTAAGTTTAACTATAGTTTATTGTATAAAGTTTAAAATAATATCCTGTTATATTATAATTATGTTTGTAAGTTTCACAATTTATTTTTTTATTATCTAAAAAAAAAAATTTTTTTCTTTTTTTTGCGAAAATTACAAAAAAAAAAAAAAAAAGTGGGAATATTAAAAATATTAAGGGGAAAAAAGAGATTTTAAAATATTAATTTATCGTCTATATTATATTATAATTTATTTATATACTAGCATTTTTTTTTTTACGTAAAAAAAACAAGTTTTTTGGGCAATGAAAATAAAATCGAAAGGAATATGGATTTTCCAGATTTAGATTAGATCCATTTAACTTTTTGTTTTTTTATCGTTCTTTTTCATTCAATTCTTTTTTATTTTTTATTGTCATTCATGTGATCGATGTAAACAAAGAAATCTGCGAACAAGACCATAACAAGATTAAACAATTTCATATTTGTTTTTATTGTATTTATATATAAGCGTTAGATTATCGACAAACATCCATCGAATAGCATTATCAGACATTTTTTATTCGGTATGACATATTAACGACATTATTAACGACATATATTAACGACATATTAGGTGTCGTAACTCAACAACCTACTCGTTAAATTCTCTTAATAAATTTATTCCTTAAAAAAACTCGAATTTACTTTACTTGCTTTATATTATATAAAACTTGAAAATCTACAATTTTACCTTCAAGATCTTGCATTATAATATATTCTTTGATCATAAAATCAACACAAGTGTAGAATTTTACATGAACATTTTTTCCCGAATTAAAAATTTGATTTTTTGATTATATTTTAAAGCCCATTGTGTATTAGTACAGTACAAGCCATTGTCTGATTAACATCTATATTTTTTCTGCGATACTACCTTCAGCCTTTTTGGAATACCTCTGACAAGGAAAAGAATAACTTTGTAAGCAAAATAAATGCTACTAATTATACTTATCAATCCCGAATAATTAATTTATTCATATATTACACAAAGTTATTCAGTAGTTTATACATGAATTGAAGGTAATTTAAGTTTTTACAAAGGCGAAAGAAAGTTAAATATATATGAATTTGAACTACCCATTTTTTTTAAATTAGCCTTCAATAACCTTTTGCTAAAGAAAACCTTTTTGACAAGCAAAAAGATAATCTTATTTTTTTAAGGTTTAAGATTGCTTACTGCGGGAAGTAAGCAAATTGTACATTATTTAAGAATGAAACTCATGGATTTAATTTTTAACAATGTTATTGTTTTAAAAGAGATGTTTATTGTCTATATAAACATCTCATAATATACATATATTACATTTGTCTTATTATTTGATATAGATATAAATTATTTAGTTTAGCATTTGTCAAATAATTCCTGTGATGTTGTTATCACTGGGGAAATTTTAAATTTAACCCCCTACTATTTGCAGATCAATAGATTTGTAGAGTGCTTTAATCATATGTGAAATTTTTTCACTATGCATGATCCGCATGATCCAGTTTAAGGATAACTGAAATGGCTATCTCTCCTCTATTTTTATCTTATTGGTCCATAGGATCACTCTTATAACACTAGTAAAATAGAGAAAAATAAAACAGTTTTATCATGAATAGGATTCTAATTGATGAAGAGTTTTTGCAAAGATTTATTAAGTATAGACAGTCAATTCATAGATAGGAATTTTCAATTTATTCCAATTTATGAAAAGAAATTTTCTGTGCATGAATTTTTATAAATAAGATATTATTAATAGGATATTTATTTTTGTTCATTTGACTAGTGTAATGATAGTTTCTTCTCATAGTCCATGAACTTTGCCTGCACTTATTATTGAAACAAAACTTGATGCTTATCCTCTCCCAAAAATAGTAGACATATTAGATGCTTGATTAGACTTAAACTCTAAATTTTGGAAAATAACAATGTATTTAATTAATCAAGATTAAATAAACAGCATTCAGTACTAAGTTTGGTACTTATGAATTTACTGTAATGTCCTTGAACTAATAAATGGCCCTGCCACCTTTTAACAACTAGCAAATAATGTGTTCTATAACATTGCTTTGAAATTTATTCTTGTATATACGGATGACATTATTATTTATTGAAAATGTTAGAAGATTTATCAGGTACTTGTAAACTTGCTGAAGCTTGCGAAACATTAGAATTTGATGGTACTCCGTGTATTTGTCATGCAAGCTCTGCTTGTCATTCTGCACTAGTTTTATGAATCTGAGCTCGATCTCTTCTTTATCTTGTTTTAATTTCGCATTCTCCTTTCTAAGTTCATAAATCTGAAGAACAACCTTGGAGTTCAATTCTCTCAACGAATCAATTGTAGATTGAGTGCTTGCCATTCTTTTTATTTAAGATATGGATATATTCAAAAGTTAGAGCTAATAAAAATTTATATACAACACGTCGCACCATACGAAAAAAATATGATATATTATACGGTCTTCTAGCCAAAATTCTTTATCAATGTAATAATATTCGTACAGTTGGCTACGATAAAAATATATGATACATAAAATTAACATTTGTACAACAAGGCATTTTTGTGACTGAAAAAACCGTCAAATCATTTTAATTCCTTTGCACCAAGTGACATAGGCGGTTTCAAGGATTTGCACGTATGGGTGAAGTTCTTCTTGACGATGGGTAGAAGGAAATACTTTAGTCCATAATCGAATTGGTGCGAACGCCATGTCTGTGATGGTGGGCAATCATCATAGCACGAACACAATATATTGTTTGCAATCACGGTGCCAGCACGTGTATAGAAACTGATGTAGCTAGTGTCTTTTTCCTGATAAGATAATTTAAAGTGAGAACATGAAAGACACATTTTGGTCAACAAAAATAACAATCTTACAATGATACGATTATCAACAGTAACAGGAATAAGTTCATTTATTTTATCCAAAACTAGGATTTTGGTCTCGCCCGGCACCACATCACAAGCGTATAGAATTGATAAATCGCTACTGAAAATGCAATGTGTAGATGTCGTACGAATATGGCCTGATAAAAAAATTTTTTTTTATTTGAATCATACAAATCCTAAGGAAGGCCAGTAAATGAGGTGAAATACCTTTACATCCATCAGGATTCGTGAATTCGATTTTTACCATATCAAGAGAATAGTCGTAATGTCCCAGATGAGATATCAAATAAATTTCAGAAAACTCAACACGGTTATTCTTGACATTGCTTAAAACAAAATTACCGACTTGGAGTTCTGCCATCTCTACCAATTTACCGCTGGCGAGTTGCACCTTTGTATCAAGAGCAAAACAGTCGGTTCTCTTCTATAGAAATTTAAACATGCAAAAGAAGACAATAGAAACAAATGAATATAGAAACCTATAAAATTATAAGATTTAAAGATTGTCGTACCTTACTCTTCAGTTCTGTCAATTATTTTTCCAATTTCTTTATAGCATCCTCCTGTCGTCTTTTACTTGTCTCTATATTTGTTTTATCTGACTCTAGATTTCTTTTATCTGACTCCAGTTTTCCTTTATCTGACTCCAGTTTTCCTTTTTCTGACTCCAGTTTTCCTTCTTCTGACTCCAGTTTTATTTTATCTAACTCCAGTTGTGTAATTTTCTCATTAAAATTCTTTCTCATTTCATCTGTCATTTTCTTCAAAGATTCCTCCTGTTTTTTTTTCATATTCGTTTCTCATGTTATCCATTTTTTCTTGAAATGCTTTATCGGCTTTCTCTTTTCCTTCATTTCTTAACTTTTCTTCGTACTCCGCTCTTGCCCGTCCCTCCTCCTTTTCCCTTTCACGACGAATTTTTTCTTGCTCTCGTCGAGCAGCTTCAAACGCTTCTGTAGTAAAAACATCTTTTGTTTTCATGATCATTCCTTTAAATCTCTTTCAATCGGGCTTGGTGTACTGGATGTTCTGGGAAGAAGATATCAGGATTTGGGGATATTCCCCAGCGGTTACCTATATTCTCAATGAAGGAGGAGACAGGCGAATTCCAAGCCTCTTGCATTTCATTCCTGTCTTGATTCTGTTTTTTTGTTGCATGGGAAAAAACAGTAATCATATAATTCATTGCACCTTCTCCAAGAAAAATATTTATACCATTTAAGACATTCCTTTGTTCTTCAGTAAACCGTTTTGCTTCTATAGGGTAAAAAAAAAAATACAGTTATTATTTATTGTCATATATTAATAATAAATAACTCTTTAAACCTTCATTTCGTAAGAAAGATAATATTTATTATGATGTTATTACGTACCGAAAACAAAAAGGATTGCTTTGACACCATGAACACATTTATGGACTGTTCTGGCAATTTCTTTGAAGGTGATATCATCAGGATTATTTGTATCAAAAATTCCGGGCGTATCGACAATGGTTAAATTTCTCGAATTTCCCTTCATGTTCAATTGTCACTTCTGATTCGCCACATACTCGCGTACAGGATTCCTTTATTGTTTTATCATTAGGATCGAATTGAAAATAAAACTAAATAAACTACACATAATTACCATGCCCGCCGAAACTTTAAACGTGCCTTCGTCATGTGACTCGCCGAGAAGTAAGTTAACGAGTGTACTTTTTCCAGCACCTTTAATATATATTATTCCTTTAATTAACAAAAAAATGGAGACAAAAAAAATTATGCCTGTTTTTCCTACTAAAAGAATCACGGGATATTCTGAGAATCTTCGGAAATTTTTGGTCTCGCGTCTCTGATTATTTGGGTATTTAAGAAATGTAATGATGAATATTGTTAAATAATTTTTATTCACTTTCAATATTATTCAACTGGCTCAATTCGCTCAATTCGCTCAATTCTAATGTATATTAAGAGGAAAAGTCTATTTATAATTACTGATATTTATTAAATAACATTTCGAATGGGGGGTTTTTCAATTTTAGAATGAATGGGCTTTTGCTTGAATTATTTTTGTCATCGTTCGTTCATTCACACGTCATATCTGTTCCCAAAAATGGGAACATAAACAATTATTTCTTCATTTGATTCAGAGTCATTTTCAAAATTACTTAAGTAACCAATCTTCCCAATAATTAAGAATTACCTATTTCGCTTTATTGATTACACTTCTTATCAATAATAATTAAGTTCATTACAAATAAATAATGTTTGCCATTCTACAATCACCTGTAGAAAAGTTTCGCTTACAACTAGCTTATGAGGGGTCATAGAAAAAAGTCTAATTGTTAGTTTTATTATAATCTTGCAGATGTATTATAGAAAAAGTAATATTTAGCGCGTGTTCAAATCAAAACATCAATTATGACTTTATTGTTATACAAAAATACAAAACGAATAGTTATATTTTATATACAGTAAATCTTTATGATTTTATTCTTCGTAATTTTCTTGTTTGCTGACCTAATAATAATAAACATTGAAATAATTATATATAATAACATGACAATGTGAACTCGACACAATAAAAAGTGACAACATATTAAATACATTCCATCGAATTTCATCTCTTCTTCTCTTCTCTTTACTGAAGTAAAATTACTTTTCAAGCAAAGGGTTCAAACTTTTTTATTACAAATATAGGTTCTTTTTTTATAAAAGCTACACCACTTTCATTTTCTTTCGCCACATTAAAATCATTATGATTATTAATATTTTTTTTCATAACAGATGACAATTTGTCTCATTATTTTTTTATATTCTAAAACTTTAACTTTTTCAAGGTAATCTTTATTATAAATTAAAGAAAATACTATAACGGAATTCTAAGATAGTATACTTACTAGTCTATAATTTATAGGCGTAAAGGCTAAATTAAACATAAGGCGAAATAATGACAAAAATTCAAGGCTTTTTTTTTTAAAAAAAAATAATATTTAAATAATTTAAAATACAGTATTTAATATATGGACTCTATTAGCCAACATATAAACATTTTTTAAGAGAAATAAAGAATTAAACGTAATTTTCATAATTATTATTATTTTGAGCAGCAAGTTCAATTAATTCTTAAGTTCTTCATCAGTATTTGGATTGTATTTTTGAATTCTTTACCACAAATTGTCTTAAGAAACCTCGAAAAGCTTGACTAATTTCACCTATATCTGAAAATTTTTGGGGACCTTTCAACGTCAAGTTCAAGATCACGAATTATTTCTCCTAGTAAACATTTAAATGGATTTGGCAAAATCATTCGAAGGATTGGCATTAAATTCTTTACCTATGTTAATTGCTCCATAAAACCATTGTTCCTCTCCATTCAGTTACGAGATATAATTTATACCTCATACTCTCATTACGTGATTAATAAATTCGATTTCAAGAAAATAATAATCATAAAATTTACATACCGCGTTATTCACATTCTTGAAGACCAGAAAGAATTTCAAGATAACCTTGATTCATTTGTGCCAATTCACCAGTGATAAATAAACCAACACTTTAATGACCCTTATCAATACCCTTGGAAGTAAGTTGTGGTCGTGTCAAATGTAGAACACATGCTCGTGATGCTAAATCATTAGCTTCCGTAACGATTGCTTCTCGAAGTGAACCTCTAAGACATTCCTTTGCTATTATAAATAAAAAGAGTAAACCTCTAAGACTTAGTTACAACAATAACAGAGCTAAAATTTTTACTAAAATTTATTGAAAACAAAAACAGCACGTAACTTAGATATTTACTTTTCTTCCAAGTGAATAATAAACCTGTCGTGAAACAAATCTTGATTCTTTTAATTGGGCATTAGCCAATACATTTTCAATTAATTCATTTAACGTGAGGTAGGTCTTTTCTCCAATTCTTTATTTGATTGTACCAATCATCTCTACGATTGTGTTCATTTTTTCTAAACAACAATCTCTACTGTATAGGACTATTCGTATTTAGAAAAAGAATTTCTCGAATAGTTTTTTTTTTTTTGACCAAGAGAAAGAAATTCTAACTCGCGAAAATCTATAGTTACAAGACGATGTCACACGAATATTGAATGATAATAACAATTGATGCAATTTCAAGTAGGGCTCTAGGTACGGTGGGTAACTGTTATATGAACTCCATCACCTTTACAGTCGACCCCTCTATAAGTAAACCCCAGGGTCCAACAAATGGTGTGATTAAAGAGGGGAGTTCTTATAGCGGGGGGAAATTTTAATATGGTTTTTTATATATAGGGATCAAGCACTGTATGGTTATAAGGAGGGAGTTCTTATACAGGGGATGCGCCTATATATACATATATATAATATAAATATAAATTTTAAGTTTTCTCTCAACATTTCAAATATTAATACTTTAATATTTATCGTTGATTTGGTAAAAATTAATAATATTTATTTATTTTATTTATTTGTTTGTTGTGTTATTTAATTAACTTTTTTTTTTTTGTTATTTATATACTTTCCAATCAAACAAAATAAAACAGGTAATAAAACAATACTTTTCTTCAACAGAAGAAACAAATAAATGATAAATAAATTACTACTTTATGAAAAGAGAGTGTGAGGTATATATATATATGCTATAAAATTAGAAAAAGAAAAATATATAATGTTTATTTTTTTGTACACTGAGGTCAAATTTTGTTTGTTTGTTTGTTTTATCTCGATAAAAAAAAATTCTATTATATACAAATTAATTTGAATATTTTAATATATTTTAAAAGGGAATAATTATATATATATATATATATATATATGTGCAAATGAATGTGAGTAAAATTATTATTATTTAATAATAATAATTATTAAAAGTTGTTATTGTTTTTTTTTTCGAGATGAAATTTTTGTGTTGGAGATAATATTTGAGACATAAATAATCAATTTTTTTTTTCTTATGATTATTTTTTCTGTGCTAAAAATCTATATCCAAAATTAAAAGGTTTATACTCATTTAATTCATTATACCAAGCTTCAACTAATTTATCATATTCTTCTTGTTCCAATCCTAAAGTTGATGAAAATTTTGATCTAAAAGTACGAAATATTTGACCTAAAATAAAAAAAAAATAAAAATAAAATTGAATTAAGATCTTTTATATTATATATTATAATAATAATAATTTATATGATTTTAATAATTCAATCACTCATTTATGTATTTACCTGTATTTTCAGAAAGTAAAGTTCCAATTCTACCAGCCCATTTACCAAATGGAGCTGAAATTTCTTCAAGTTTTAAATCTTCAAGTTGTTGTGTTGCCAATAACATATCAATCATATGATTGAATACTGTAAAATCAATATTACGAGAACGAAGATCTGAAAAAACTATAAAAATAAAAAATAAATTATTAATTATTATTATTATTATTATTATTATTATTATTATTATTAGTATTATTATTATTTTATTATAGTTATTATTATTATTTATTATAATTATTATTATCATCATCATCATTATAAATAATACTTACATGCACTAAATAATAATCTCGATATTGGACCATCATTTCTTGGCTCAATTTCATCTTCCACAATCTCAATAATTCCTCCAACTTTAGTTACCCTCACTAATTCTTTTAAAGCAATTTGCCAATCTAATTCACTAAACGCGGTAATTAGATATCTTACGTGTATGTGATCAAAAGTATTATTGTGATAAGGTAATCCATCTAATATATTACATTCTAAAAAATTAACATTTGGAGGTATTTGATCTCGAGGATAAATTGGACATATATCTATTCCGGTATAATGTGATTTTGGAAATTCATTGGCCATTTCTATTACCCACGTTCCTGGTCCACAACTATAAATTAATTGAAGTTAAATAGTAAGTGATTAGAGTGATGAGTAGATTGAGAGGATATTTTGTTGTAATGAAATTATCATATAGCAAAATGGAATTAATTCTTGTATAAATTATATAAATTGTAATATTATATTTACCCAACATCTAATATGAGAGCTCCTCCACTTTCTAACTTTTCTTTTATGGGAGCAGAATAATTTTTTTGCCATATGAATCGACAAATATAATGTTGAATATGTAATCTTTCAAATTCATCTTCATCACAAGGCATCATGTATTTTGAATTCACTACATTATGAAATCTTCTACCATCGATAATTCGATAATTTTGATATTCTTCTTCATTATTATTATCATTGTTATTATTGTTATTCTTTTTATTATTATTATTATTATTATTATTATTTTTATTATTATTTCCATAATAATATTCTTCATTATAATTATTATAATAATCACCATTGTTATAAAAATAATCGTTATTATTATAATAATAATATCCGTAATCACTTATATCATTGTTATTATTATTTATAATAACATAATGTGTATTTATACCATTATTATTATTATTATTATTATTATTATTATTATCAACAGTTGTCATTGTATTAATTGTAGCAATAGTTGAAGTTCGAATACGTCGTTGTCGTCGTCGTTGACATAAATATCTTTGTTGTTGTTGTTGTTGTTGTTGGTGGTGATTGTTTTGATGATATTTTAATTGATGATGATGATGTTTTAGTTTACAGAGACAAGTTCCCATATTTTCGATATTTCGGATATTTAGGATATTTCAATATAGATACTTTAGATAAATACTTGTATATATTTTATATAAATGTGAATAAAAATTTTAGGAAGAATATTATTTACAATCGTTTGATTAATTAATCATTACAAATCATTCTTGACAATTATTGTCAAGTATCAAATGGAATCCCGTTCCTAAAATAATAATAATAACCAATTTTACGAAGGAATGAATGAAATGGAAGAAATGAAAAATTGAATAAAATAAAAATAAAAATGATATGATAAAAAATAAAATGATAAAAAATAAAATGATAAAATTAAAAGATAAAATAAAATAAAAATCAATGAAGAAATCAATAAAGAAGATGAAAAAGAAGAAGAATCAAGATGGTCGACTTCTTTTTTATCTTATCTTTGTGTAAAATTCTTATTGCTTTATTGTGTTGGCACACAAAACGATAAATTTTATATTTATTATTTTTTTTTTTAAAACCGAAAGGAATATCATGGATTTATATATAGATACAATTTTTATTTGTAAATAATTAACTATTAGTAGTAATAATAAATAATATTTAAGATCTCATCATCATTATCATTATTTATTATTATTGATTATTACATAAAATATTCAGGTTAACCGTAGATCGTTCGTGGTGCATTGAAGATATACCTTTTATAGAATATTTATAGAGTTTAAATTATGGATAAGAGACAATTCAAAAAAATTGGCGAAGCAAATAAGCAAGTAAGTAAAGCAAATTAAAGATGCAAGCGAAGAAAAAAGAATATTTAAATAAGATAATATGATGATGATGATTATTATTATTATTATTATTATTATTATTATTATTATTATTATTATTATTATTATTATTATTATTATTATTATTATTAAAAGTTATTAAAAATTATTATTAAATAATATTATTATTACTACATATTATTACTATATATTATTACTCTATCAGCTTATAATATTATACTTAAATAGAAATATTATGATACAAAGGGGTGATATAGGGGTGATAATGAAAGTGATACAAAAAAGTTTTACTCACACAGTTAATAAATAAAACTCCTCATTAACTCCTCCTTACTACAAAAAGTAATCCGATTTATAATATATTTATACTATATATATTTACAACACTTTTTTATATTTTTAAAATATAAAGTATATATAAAAAAAATAAATAAAAAACGCGCGGAATGAACATAGAATTTAGAAATTACACAAACAAAAACTTAAAAAAAAAACCGAAAAAAAAAACTTGAATAAACGAGTACCCAAAAATAACGGTAACAAAAACAAATATATGTGGTAATGAATGAAGCAAAATAAATGGCACGTGGAAATTGATCATATCTATTTTGCATATAAATATATATACATGCATCACATATATATCTTTTTTTGTATCTCAAATTAAAAATACATTTCAGATAATATTATATAATATAATATAATAACACAACATATAAACAGATAAAGTACCTATTATGATATATATACCTTATGTAATTTATGTAATTGTTTCATTATTCCCAAAATTAAAAATTTGAAAAAAAAAATATTATGCAACTCTTCGATTTCAAAATCTCTGACATGCTTTATCTTTTTATTTCCATTTACAAATAATAATAAAAATTATATAATCATCAATCAATTACATTATAATTCAATTACATCAATTACATCAATTACATCAATTATCAATTACATAAATTTTTTATCTCCTTAATTTATTTTAAAAAATAATAACTAATAATAAATAATAAATAATAAATAATAATGATAATAACATGAAATGTTCAAGAAAGGAAACAAATGTATAATTTAATTTACATTTCGGATAGCATAGTTAGATAACTAATCTCAGTCCAGCAAAGTCTGAAGGAAATCTCATGTGCCACACTTAACCTTTTTAATCCACCTACACAATCTTGTGTACACTATGAACTTTTGTCATTTTACGTACTGTTTTACTATTAATTTTATTGATTTCTTAATAAGCCTCTTTCCTATTTCTTCCCCATTAAATTTAGAAATAATGATAACTATCAAAGGTGTATAGAGCAGATTTCCTATAGCATTCATTTACAAAGGTTCTTGATTTGAAGACACACCTGTGCCTGTACACATCACATAGAATTTCGTTTGCATGCAGGTGCTTTAGTTGTTTAAGATATATTGTTATTGGAGTTGAATAAGGCCTTTGTTACTTATTTCTCTGCAGCCGTTGGCACCTAACGAAAACCTATCGGGGTATAAATAATTACTATCCAATATAATTATAGTGTTAATATTAGTTTTTATTAAATTCCAATTTGTACGATAAAAAATGATTTCTCTATTAATAATATTATTTGAAAGCTTGCATTTTAAAGCTTCACAATGGTGATTTAATCATCTTTCTAACATTGAAATTTTTCTGAAACATTGATGTTTAAAGACAATAAATTTTGTTTTACCTCAAACTAATTTATACAATGGAGGTGATTTTCCACTATGGTGTTTCTAATATCATTTGAAAACTCTCAATTGAGGGTTTGCAATTATCAATATTCATAGAGCTCTTACATCCAAATATGTACAATGAATTAAATATGAATTATAATTTAAGCAGTTATTCTTTGCATTGTGCCAGAATTTATTCAGTAGAAAATAAAATTAACCAGAGACACAATAATTGAATAAACTTTAATATTAATTGAACCATCATCTTTTGTACAAACTACTGGATCTAAAGAACAAGCTTTGATATCCCCGTTTGGACCAATTGTGATTTTATTTATTATGAAATGGAGATCATGCCTATTTTTTTTTTTTTTAAAAAAAAAAAAAAATAATATTGATTGCTTATATCGTTTTGTTTGATTCTCATTCTTTTTGTATACAAAAATAAAAACAGTGTACAGTAGATTATTATTGTTCCTGTGCCTTTTGGTTCTTACTGATAACAAGCTTCTGAGCTTGGATTGCTTCCTTTATTGTTCATCAAGAACATCATTGTAGGGTACAGTTTTTTCATAAAGGCTCATTGTTCTATTATCAACAAAATAGTCATTAGGAAAATTTTTATAGGGTATAAGATTCTGGAATATTACGGTATCTACGGAGTATTTCTATAAATGATATTACATAAAGTTACAAAATATTCCATGAGTTTATGTAATATTCTCTGAGTACCATAATATCCTGGAATATTATCCCCTATAAACTTTATGGTAAAGTAAATTATGGAAATAAAAAATGATTTTTTTATGGTTTTTATTGCTGTACGTATATTATAAACAAGTTGGATACAACCCATCCATTTTTCAAGATTTCTTTTATAACCCAATTAAATCTCCTTTTTTTTTTTTGTTCTTTCGAAAGAATGCCAAACTGCTCCAATTTTCCTTTTCTTATTACTATTAGTTTCCTCATTATTATCTGATTTGTCAACGTTTTTTTACCATAGTGAATATTGAAATTGGTAAGCGCGTGTTGTCTTTTGTGTAAATCATGAAGATTTTGACAACAATTGATAGAATTGGTTACAATAGCATTGAAAATTTGAGAAAAATAAACCTGTTCCTAATATTATGGGTACTGTCACAGCCAGTGGAAGTTAGGTATAGAGTGGGAAAATAGAGATATGAACAATTTCATGATGACTTTAGTTATACTATTGGTGAGTTTTTTTAAGTCAGGATGGATAAATATTTGTCACGCTTTACTTGACTGGTAATGCAAGGCACTTAAGAAATCGAGACAGTAGTATATAGATGCACTTTACTTTTATCAAATAAAACTTAGTTATAAACTATAAATTTATTATCAATTTCTTATAATTATATGCTCATTCATTATTTCTTTTAAAAATTAAAACAATAAATAATAATAATCCTATATGTATAACAAATATGCATACGGTGAATCCCGCGATTTACCCAGCATTGTTAAAAAAAAAAAAAAAAAAAGTCAATAATATGATTTGAAGCGTATGATATAAATAATAATAAATGATAACAAATAATATGATAACAAATAATAATAAATTAGAATTTAGAATTTTTATATTATTAGTTTTTAAATTTTTTCCAAAATAAACAAACAAAATTTACATTAATTTCATTAATCGCTAATTTACACTTGCATTAAAATTAACATTATTAGTATCACAGATCTTCAAAAGTTTTGTCATGAGATTCTCCAGGATTAAAGCATTTTGTTTTACTAAAATAAAACTTTGTTTTTGCAAAATTATTATTTATACATAACAATAACACATGCAAAATACATACAAAATGCGTACATCGTGTATGACTTATGACTTCTATTTTTTATTAATTATTCAAAATTTTATCAATTGTTAAATTATGTTTTGATCATGTCTTGATCACGTCTGACACAAATTTAATTCCTTTAACTATTTTTATTTCTTTAACCTTTCGCTTATATAAACCTATGTAGTGATTCTTTTTATTAATTGTTATTAATTTTTCTATATACTCAGCATTAACTCTAATTACCAATTTGGTTACTAATTCTGATTAAATGCATTGTGTTTTGATCATGACTTCATCACAAACTTTCGAATTTTTCGAAGAATTACGTTCACATGATCCTCGGACCTTTATCTGATTATTTTATCATGCTAAATTACTTTTAAGCTCTATAGAAATTGATAGCTTATTTACCTTGCCAAGACGAAACTAGCCATTAAAATATTTACCGTAATTATGCAATTCTACGTGACATCGTTAATAAAAAATGGTTCGGAAAAGAGTAATTTTCATAAGGCAATTAATATTTTTTTCTTTCCACGTAAAATTGTTTACGACAATCGAATTAAATGTCAATAATATATTATTCTAAGGTATTACTGACATATGGCATAACTTATATGAATGCGAAAAATACGAATTTGATCACAAAGATATGTATTACCGATCCGAAGAAGATAATTCCCATGTAAAAAGCAAGGTGATACAGAAAATAAGACCCAATTTTATCTCAAAGTGTTTAGAACAAATAATTAAATAATAAATAATTTTTTATAAAATATTAAACGAGCCTACTTATAATTGGTTCGAGATCAATTTGAAATTCATTTTTTATTCTATTATCAATTCTTGATAATACAAATGGTCATCTGTCTAATTAGAGTACTTAAGTTTTTTTTATATAAATTCGATCACTTCCCGACTAACAAAAAAATTCAGAATTGTAAATTTCCTTCTTCCGTGAATCTCACTCTTTGAGAATATATGCAAAAAAAAAATCCACGTATAGTTTTTTATAAGATAAACCTTAAGTCTCATAATGGTCGAAAGGATCGAATTAATAAATTCGATCATTCAGAACTTCAATAGGAACACCGTCCACCCACCACGCCCATTAAACATACCGAGCACTAATCCTCGGTATAGGGCATACGATTTATTTCAAATAAATGTTGTACAGGAGCTTAGAAGGCAGAACGAGACTGACAAGATTATTTGTCGAAAAGTAACAGATATTCTATGGAGGGGTTCGTCGGCGAACGAACGGAGGGCATATCAGATTTTAGCAATAAGCATCAATTCACTTTATAGGTGAATAATCAAGACAAACCAAAACTATTTTCAAAATAAGCGTAATTTAAGCATTAAGAAAGAATCGTTCTAAGCATTTTATTGGCAAAATCGGCAAAATCGGCAAAATCAAAACGTTTAATTTAATGGAAAATTGTTTGATACTTCTTTTCCAATGTTTATGAGAATTTATTGATTTTTTATATTTTTATTTATTTGGAAAAATAAAATATTGATTTAATAAATTGAAGCAAAAATAAAGGGACATTTTCATTAAATGAATTTTTTTTTTATTTGTTATTTTATAATAATGAACTTATCTGTGATGGATAGTAAAGTAACATGAAAGTTCTAAAAATCAAAAAAAAAAAATTTTTTTTAACTTCGAAACGTCTATTAACTTTGATTTTTTCGTGCATATCTTTTCTTTAAATGGTTTCACATACCATATCTTTTTTATTTCAGGTTAAAATGTCACGAACTAAAGAAGCACTTTACATAAAATTCTTAAGTTTACTAGAATGTACAAATAGAGTAAATAAATAATAAGAAAAACCAAAACAATTATCATACTGTTCATGTTGTTGGTGAGAATTCAAATCTGTAGTAAATGTAAATAACACAAATCTCAATGCTTTTCACTGATGTGTAAACTGCGTGACAAAAACCTCCAAATACAATTTCTGCGAGAAAAAATCCCAAAAAATTTCTCTATTTTATTTTTTTTATAACTTCGACCTTTTTTTTGTGCGTATATAAATATTTTTCTATTTCTTTTGTTTACAAGATTCTAATTTCAGTACCTTACACGAAATACTAGAATGTACTAATTCTATTTTATTATTGTAGAAAAATATAAATTATGATCCATTTTCTTCTTTTTTTTTATTGTGAATGGTGATAAAGGAACAGATAAAATTATTAGAATTTATACCTAAAAGATTCTCACTTTTTGGTTAAATATTCTTCTCTTCTCCGAGGAAAAAAAAAGCCCAAAAACTTTAGTTAAGTAATTCACATATTATATTCATTTTTCATTTCATAATTAATTATATTAATTATATTTAATTGAATTTATTTTTATTTATTTTTTTTTTTAATTTTTAATTAGGTGACTATTCATAACTTCAATAGAAACACTATCCACTCTCTACCACCATTAAACCTATCGATAATTAATGATTCAAAACGGCGTCGCCATGCGATATATTTCAAATAAATGTGCACTAGAGCTTAAAAGACAAAACGAGATGGACAAGATTTTTAACAGATTTTCTGTAGAGAAATTCATCAACGAACGAACGAATGACATATCGGATTTTAGCGAAAAATATCAATTCACTTTTACCCCCATAATCAAGACAAACAAACAAAAAAAAATTATTTCTAGACATTTTATTGGCAAAATCGGAAAAACGAATAATTTTTATAAACATTGGAAAAGACGTGTCAGTATCAACCATTTTTCCATTAAATTAAATAAAATTTTTACTTATTTTTATTTTTATTTATCATGATTCAGGAGTTTATCGGTCAACTGAAGTAAAGTTGCTTCATTGTTATTTATCGCATATTATGATATCACGTAGCATTAAACGTGTTATATGAATACAAATAATAGTCAAAAATAGGTTATCTAATCTCAATCTGCATACCAAGACTTAAACTAATAATTCGGAAAATACAAAATTGTGTAACTGCATGGATAATAGGTAACACAATTTCTGCCAAAAAGATTTTTTTCATGCAAAAAAAAAAAAAATAGGAGTTCGATCAAAAGGAGTAATATATTAAAAATATCTTTTAAAAAAATTTAATATTTATCACTTTACATTCTAAAGGATAATACCTAAAATATCAAATAGAAGTATTTCTATCTCTAAGCAGGGCTGGAAAAGTCACAACACATTAAATTAATAATATTGAATATAAAACTCAGACATGTAAGTCGGGAATCATCAGAAAAGTATTATAAAAAAAAATTATTTTAATTTATAATATTAACATAAACATTTGAAAATCGATTTTCGGTATTTTAAAATCAAAGATTTATAATGACTTGTCAATTGAAACTAATTTTACCTTTTATTTTAGATAATAAAAGAAATAATTCCAACAATTTTATTTTTTATTTGTAAAATATAATATAGAGAAGAATTATAGTACTTCGCAATTATATTGGTTACTTTATTTAAATATCAAGATCGATGATAAAAGCATGTACAATCCTCCAGAAAAAGTTTTGTTTCTTTTTAATTTATTTCTTTCACAAAATTAAAATTCAATTTCTAACTTTATTATTATATTTTCGTGATTTTCTATTTTTATTTACTTAATGCAATGACTAATTTTATCATTATGTAATGGTGATGATGAACTGTCAAATGTATATAAAAATTGTTAAATATCCAGGGTTAGTATTTTTTGAAAAGGAGCTAGTCCAACATGTCTGTATCACTCGAACCTTGTGATCTCCATCCAACAAAAAATCCCATTATAAATAGATTACATCATCCTCCACCTACGAATGTTGTTTCCTGAATTCTTCTTCTTTTGACAAAAAGCCTTTCCTAAATCTTGCATGTACTCATATTATCATTTTAAGTACTGTTCTACCATTAATTTTCTGAATCAACATCTTTCCGTTTCTTTTCCATTAAATTTAAAAATAATGATCATCATCAAAGATCCACAGGGCAGATTTCCTATAGCATTCAAATTCAAATTACAAGGTTGCATGCCGGTGCTTTAATTATTTAATATATATTGTTATTAGAGTTAAATAAGCTTTTGTTGCTTATTTCTGCAGCCGTGAGCACCTAACGAACACCTATCGGGGGTATATCAGGTAGGTAAATATCAAGTTAAAAATTTTAAATAATTATTATCCAATATAATTAGTGTTAATAATAGTTTTATTAAATTCCAATTTATGCAATAAAAATGATTTTTCTACTAAATTCCAATTTGTGTAATAAAAATGATTTTATTATTGAAAGCTTGATTTAATCATCTTTCTAACATTGATATTTTTCTGAAATATTAATGTTTAAAGACAATAAATTTTATTTTACTTTTAAATTAATTTACACAATAGAGAGACTTTCCACTATAACATTTTGGAATCTCTCATTTCAGGCTTACGATAGTTATCAATATTTATAGAGTTAAATACAATGAATTAAATATTAATTATAATTTAAGCAGTTATTCTTGACAGATATTAACATTGTTCCAGAATAATCTTTGAGCCAGAATTTAGCTGGCAGAAAATAAATTAACGAGAGACACAATAATTGAGTCAACTTTAATATTAAATGAGCCACAATCTTTAGTATAAACAACTGGATTTTAAAGGACAAGCTTTGATACCTCCCGTTTGGACTAATTGTGATTTTGTTTGTGATGAATTGGAGATCATGTTGTCCATTTTTTTTTAACAAAAAAATAACGATTGCTTACTTTATTTATATCGTTTTGTTTTATTCAATTAAATCTTCTGCTTTTTGTTTCTTTCGAGAGAATGCTAAACTGCACAATTTTCCTTATTACTATTAATTTCTTCATCACTATCTGATTTGTCAACGTTTTTTACCATAATGAATATTGAGATTGTAAAGATGAAAGTTGTTATGATACACTTGAAAATTTAAGAAAAAAATAAACCTGTTCCTAATATCATGGATGTCGTCACAGCCAGTAGAGTTTGCACAAAATAGGTACAGAGTGAGAGAATAGATAGCTTTAGTTATACTATCGGTGAGTCTTTAAGTCAGGATGGATAAATATTTGTCAAGCTTTACTTAAAAAAGATTAAAAAAAATCGAGACAATACTATATAGACGCACTTTACTTTTATCAATAAACTTGGTTATAAACTATTCATTAATAATAACAATAAATAATAATCATAAATGCATAACAATAATGCCAAGAAAGGTAGCAGTGAATGAAATATAGAACATGGTGTCACATACGGCATTTTCCATCATTATTTTTTTTTTAAAAAAAAATTAACGATCACTATCATTACCATCATAAATAATAAACAAACATTGGGTACCACAGATCTTCAAAGCGTCATGAGATCCTCTAAAATTTTCAAGATTTTCTGATATAAAAATGATGAAACCGAGTATATTGAAAGAGCGAAAAAGTAAAATGTTGTTGATGGGGTTATTTATTATTACTATTCAAAGCATTTATTAAAGAATTTATGTCGATGCTGGCTATGTCGTTTAATTCCTATAATTAAAACTTCGTAATTTTTTTTACAAAATTATTATTTATACAAAATATTCAAAGTTGCAGCATACATTATGAAAGAAATGTATAATATAAGTTAACATCGTATATAACTTATGACTTATATTTTTATCAATTATGTTTAATTATGTTTTGATCATGTCTTGATCTCGTCTGGCACAAATTTAATTCCTTTAACTACGTTTATTTCTTTAATCCTTCGCTTATACAAATCTATGTAGTGATTATTTTTATTAATTGTTATTAATTGTCCCTATATATTTAACATTTACTTTAATTAAAAAATTTTGATTACTGATTTTGATTAAATGCATTATGTTTTGATCAATGTTTTTATGTTTATCGAATTTTTTTCTGACAAGAATTGCGTTCACATGATTCATCAGACATTATCTTGGACCTTATCTGAATATTTTATCTGTATGACTTTTTGGAATAAACACATAATTGCAAATTCTATATAGAAATCGATAACTTATTTACTTTGTCAAAACGAAATATATTATTATAATAATACATTTATAGTCTAACCCATTGAAATATTTACCATAACTATTCATGTGACATCTTAAGAAAAACATACATGAATATCTTTTCTCAGAAAAGAGTAAATAACGAATAATTATCATAAGATAATTTTTCTTGCTTGTAACATTGTTTATGACAATCGAAAAGAGTACGAATTAAATGCTAATAATGTATTATTCTAAGATATTGTCGGCATTCTCATAACTTATATGAATGTGAATTAGGCAATTATTGAAGAACGATAATGTATGATTCTCAAGTTCTTGGTTTTTTTTTTTGTAAAAAAGCAGGGTGATACGAAAAATAAGACTTATTAATACTAATATTCAATAATATTATGTAAGAGTATTTAGAACAAATTATTATAAAATAATTATTCTATTATCAATTCTTGATAATAACGATAATGCAAAAGGTCATCTGTCTCATTATATAATGACCTTAGTTTTATCTATAAATTTGATCAGTTTCCGATTAACAAAAAAACATTAGGAAAGTATAATTCTTCCTTCTCTATGAACACACACTCTCTCTGAGAATATATGAAAAAAAAAAAGTTCACATATAATTGAACACACTCTCTCTCTGAGAATATATGAAAAAAAAAAAGTTCACATATAATTTTTTTAAGAAAAACTTTAAGTTTTAAGTATTCATCATGATCGAAAAAATCGAAAAAATAAAAACTATTGTTAGAAATTTTGATAGAAATACTATACATCCCCCTCCACCAATGAACCTATCGATAATTAATGATTCAAAAAAGTATAGGGCATACGATATATTTAAAATAAATGCTGTACAAGAGCTTAAAAGACAAAACGAGACGGACACGATTATTATTCGAAAAGTAATAGATAATTTGTGGAGAAATTCGTCAACGACCGAACGAATGGCATATCAGATTTTAGCAAGAAACATCAATTTTTACTTCATGTCAAGTGAATAATCCGAGACAAACAAAAAAACGATATTATAAATAGGAGGCATCTAAACACTTCGGAAAACGAGAAACCATCGTTCTGGCAAAACCCAGCAAATGAGAAACAATCCTTCTAGACATTTTATTGGCAAAAACCGGCAAATGAGAAACATTTAAATGTTTGATACGTCTTTTCTAATTTTTATAAAAATTAAACAAAATTTTATTTTTTGCAAACATAAATATTGATTTTTTACATTTTTATTCATGTTGACCTAATATAAATATTAAATCATCGGTGGTCATATGAGTACAAATAATAGTCGACTGAAGTTGCACAAATTAATAGTTATCAAAAAACCCATTGTCTTTTATCGCAGATTATAATATATTAATTCAGAAAATGCATGAATAACATTTATAATAAAAACTCCGGGCTGTGATTAATAGTAAAATAACACGAAAATTATAAAAATCAGAAAAATTTTCTTAACTTTGAAACTTTGATCTTTTTTCAAATATTTTTTTATATACACTATATCTTTTATTTAAAATTTCTAATTTCAGATTAAAATGTTAAGCAAATTATCTTACACAAAATTCTTCATATTATTCATTTATCATGATATGAATACAAACTGAAGTTGCACAAATTCATAGATAAGAGTAAAAGAATCTTTAGGATTAAAAGATAATAACCGAATCACTTCTTGCTTTAATGAGATTAATTTAATATTCTTTAAATTAGTATGTCCTAATTCAAAACATTCAAAATGTTCAAAATATTCTTTAGTTAACTATATGAATAAATGCAACATTTAATATAAAGTGAATAATAATGTACATATCGGAAATTTTATTTTAATAAAAATCGAGCGTTACTTTGCGACGCGACTGTACATACCAGTCTCAGTTACATGCTGTGCTGCCTTTAAACATTTTTTACATTGATCACAAAGGCATTTAGTTATGTATCGATAATATCAATTGTTAAACATATATTGTTTAAATAATCGGGAAAATGTTTTGACATTTTTCATTAAATGAATTTTTATTTGTCATTTATCACAAAGAAAAAGCGGGAGGTGTGTCATGTGAGTACAAATAATGGTCAAATCTAATTCTATCTGATCTGAATTTGCAATCACGGAAAAGGTTTTCCACCGTTCTTATTATGTACTAAAATTAATAGAAATACAAAATTGTGTAACCGCATGGTAAATTTCTGACGAGAAACAATCCAAAAAATTTTTCTATTTTATTTTATTTACAACTTTGCTTTTTTTCGTAAATATATATTTCTATAAATATTTTTTTCATAAAGAAATTCGTTAACAAACGAACATATGGTAAATTCGATTTGGCAAGACCCTTTTACCACATGTCAGGTGAATAATCCGATCAAAAAAAATGATATTATAAATAATATAAATAGGAAGTATCTAAACACTTCTGAAAATCTTTTTAAACATCCTATTGTCAAAACTGGCAAAATCAAAACGTTTAATTTAATGGAAAAATGTTTGATACTTCTTTCAGATGTTTATAAAAATTAAATAAATATTTTTTGAAACGGAAAAATGTTTGATATTTTTTCATTAAATGAATTTTTATTTGTCATTTATCACAAAAAAAAATGCTTTCCATCAATATATTGAAAATAAAAATATATAACCGCATAAACAAAAAACCTCCAGATAGTTTTTTGTCATCTTCACATCATTGTTGCTTGTTGTTGCATTTACACTCACTTTTTGGTTAAATATAGTCTGTATTACATAAAAAATTTATATAAACTATTCTTTTCCCTTTCTCTCCTTCTCTTCTTCTCGAGGGGAAGAAAAAAATCCAAAAACTTTAGTTTTAAGTATTTGCATATTTTATATTATATTGATTTTTCATTAATTAATTAATTAAATTTAATTTAATTCCTTTCTATTTATTTTTTAATTAGGTGATTATTCTCATCATATTCGAAGAAAAAAAAAGAAAACTATTGTTAGAAATTTCAATAGAAACACTGTACACCCCCCCCCCCACCAACGATAATTAATGATATAAAAAAGCGTCCTCAGTACAGCGCATGCGATATATTTCTAATAAATGTTGTACAAGTGCTTAAAAGCCAAAACGAGACGGAAAAGATTATTATTCGAAAAGTTATAGATAATTTGTGGGAGAATTCAACAACGAACGAACAAATGGCATATCGGCATTTAGCAGAAGACATCAATTCACTTCCGCATGTCAGGTGAATAATCTGAGACAAACAAAAAATGATATTGTAAATGTGAGGCATCTAAATAACAATCGTTCTAGACATTTTATTGGCAAAAACCAGCAATGAGAAATGTTTAGATGTTTGATAAAAATTAAACAAAATTTTATTTTTTTTTTGCAACCATAAATATTGATTTTTTTATTTTTATTCATGTTGGCTAACTAAAGCCTAACATAAATATTGATTTAATAAATTGAAGCACAAATAAATGACATTTTTCCATAGAGTTAATCCGTGATGGTCATATGAATACAAATAATAGTTGCGCAAATTAATAAAGTTATCGTCTTCTATCGCATATTATAATGAACAAAAACATATTAATTCAGAAAATACGAAATAAGCTTTGATAACATCTATAATAAAAATTCTGGACTGTGATTAATAGTAAAATAACACAAAATTATAAAAATCAGAAAAAATTTTTTTAACTTTGAAACTTTGATCTTTTTTTCAAATATTTTTCATATACTATATCTTTCATTTAAATTTCAGATTAAATGTTGAACTAAAGAAAAATCATGTCAAGCAAACAAAATTCTTAAGTTTACTAGAATGTACTAATCGAATAAATAATTAAGAACAACTATCATATTGTTCATATTGTTCGTAGGAATTCAAATCTGCATGTGACACTGCTTATTTTCTATCTCAATATTCATAAAATGAATTTTGTTTCTAATTGGTTCGAAATCAAATTTTCAGTAGTCATAAAATAAATGAAATTCCTTCCTTATTCTTATTTTATTTTCAATTCTTGATAATACATTATATAAAGTACTTTGTTTTTCATATACATTTCATTGATTTTTTCCTTAATAGAAACACCGTACACTAGTGTTGTCAAGGGACACCTCGGGACAATGTTGGGACAAAAATTATTTTTTTAAAAATGTAAATAGCACTAAATTTTATTATTAAAGCCTACTTTGACTATTAATTTAAGTTGTTTAGAATAGATTTTTATATTTATTTATAAAGCTTTGATATCTATTTATAGGCTAGTTAAGGATAGGGATAGTGGGAAATGGGACATAGGGACAGTCAAAAAATTTGGGTATATGCAAATTTGACAACACCCTCCACAAATAAACTTAGGGTTCGGTTTGGTTCAAAAGTCATTGGTTGGACTCTTGAGTTGGAACGAATAACTTTGGTTCAACCATCAATTCAAACCTCAGTTCGACTATCAGTTGAACTATTGGTAAAGATGTGTCCCTAATTATTTTTACAAGTCCTTAATATTACAGATTTTTTTAAATAAAATTGCCGCAATTCCACAATCAACTGCGGACCTTTGTGTAACAATTTTCCATTTTGGAATCTCAAAATGATTGTCTAAATCGGACATCTCTACAGTTTATTTCCAATTTTTGTGATTTATAGCCCCCTCATTAAGGCAAATAATCCAGATTGGACATCACTACGACAAGTTATTAACCAAAACAATCGCTTAGAAATTCTATTATAATTTTTTATTTTATTTTTCAAGTTATATGCAGAGATCTCACTAAACTGGATCCAATTTTTGTGATCTATAGCTCATTAGATTCCTCTCATCGCGATGAACATTTTGATAGCTGATTCATCCATCTCTACACCAAGTTATTAACCAAATAGTTTGTTTATTGTTAATTAAAATTAATGAAATTTTTTATAATATTTGTTGAATCCTAATTTAAATATTTAATATAAAATCAAAATTTATTTTATTAATTTATTATTATTATAAAACAAATGGTTAAACGATGGTTCATACATATAAAATAAACGTTGAACCGTTAGTTCAACCGTATAAATGGACGGTTGAACCGTAGTTGAATCGGTTCTAGATCTTGGAACCGAATCGGTTCGTTATAACCTACTTCATAGCAAAAAATAGGTATCGCGCATACTATATATTTCAAATAAATGTTGTACAAGAACTTAAAAGACAAAACGAGACGGACAAGATTATTATTCGAAAAGTAATAAATAATTTGTGGAGAAATTCGTCAACGAATGAACGGCGTATTCGATTTTAGCAGAAAACATCAATTCAATAGGAGGCATCGAAAGGAAATTATATTAGCAAAACTGTAAAATTAAAACATTTAATTTAATGGAAAATGTTTGATACGTCTTTCCAATGTTAATAAAAATTAAATAAAAATTAAATAAAAATTATTCTTTTTGTAAACCTAAAATATTGATTTTTATATTTTTTTTTGTCATTTATCATGATATGAGTACAAATTAATAGATCAAAACCCCAAAAGTATAGAATAAAAGAATCTTTAGGATTAAAAAGACAATAACCGGAATTACTTTTTGCTTTAATGGATTAATTTAATATTCTTTAAATTAGTATGTCCCGGTTCAAAACATTCAAAAATGTTCAAAATATTCTTTAGTTAACTATATAAATAAATGCAACATTTAATTTAATGTAAATAATATTATACATATTGCATGATGTATTGCCTTTAAACCTTCTTTACATTGATAATAGTGTATTGTAAAGGCAGTTAGTTATGCATCTATAATAAATTGTTTAAGCATATTTTGTTAAATAATGAAAGGGAAAATGTTTTGACATTTCATTAATCACAGAAGCAGGAGGTCTTTTATGTGAGACATAAATACCAATCAAAACGCGGAAAATACAAATTGTGTAACCACATGGCAAAAAATGATCGAAAGAATTGAAAAAATAAAACCGATTATCAGAAATTTCAATGTACACTCTCCATAAATAACTATAGATAATTGTTAATCCTTCTCCAAAAAAGCGTCTTCATGGTCTTAATAGCAACGATAGGCACGGTACATACGATTTATTTCAATAAATGCTGTACAGGAACTTAAAGACAAGACGAGTTGGACAAGATTATTACTCAAAAGTAATAGATAATTTGTATGAATTTTTATTTGTCATTTATCACAAAGAAAAAAAGCAGGAGATGTGTACTGCACAACAAACACCCTAGATAGTTTCTGCAATTTAATGTCATCATCACACCTAATAGTTTTTCACTTTTTGATTAAAATAGTCTGTATTACGTCAAATTTTTATATAAACTTCTTTCCTTCTCTCGAAAGAAAAAAAAAATCCAAAAAACTTTAGTTCTAAGTAATTTACATATTTTATATTATGTATATTGATTTTTCATTTCATAATTAATTCATTATATTTAATTTGATTTATTTTTTAAATTTTAATTAGGTTATTATTCTAATCATGATCGAAGAAATAAAAACCACTATTAGAAATTTCAATAGAAACACTATCCACCCTCCACCACTATTAAACATATCGATAATTGATGATTCAAAAAAGTATAGGGCATACGATATATTTCAAAGAAATGTTGTACAGGAGCTTAAAAGACAAAACGAGACGAGCAAAATTGTTATTCGAAAAGTAACGGATAATTTGTGGAGAAATTCATCATCAAACGAAAGAATGGCATATCAGATTTTAGCAAGAAACATCAATTCACTTTTACCTTATGTCAGGTAAATAATCAAGACAAACAAAAAAACGATTTCTGGACATTTTATTGGCAAAATCAGCAAAATTAAAACGTTTAATTTTTATAAACATTGGAAATAACGTATCAGTATCAAACATTTCCCCCATTAATTTCTTGCAAACATAAATTTTGTTTTTATTCATTTGACAAAATAATACCAAAAAAAAAAAATTCTAAAATAAGTCACCTAATCTCAATCTGCATACGGAAAATTCTTTTATTGATCTTTAAATGCACTAATTCATCACATCATTGCACCTATCACCTTTGAAAAAAAAAATCCACATATAATAAAAAAAATCATGATCGAAAAAAATCGAAAAAATCGAAAAAATCGAAAAAAATCGAAAAAAATCGAAAAAATAAAAACGATTATTAGAAACTTTAGAAATTTCAATAGAAAGACTATCACCATTAAACCTATCGATAATTAATGATTCAAAAAAGCATCCTCGGTATAGTGCATACGATCGGATTTTAGCAATTCGTGAATAATCAAAACTATTTCTAGACATTTTATTGGCAAAATCGGCAAAATCGGCAAAATCAAAACGTTTAAATTAAATTTTTTTTTTTTTTTTGCAAACATAAATTTATATTTTTATTCATTGTTTTTTATCGCATATTATAATGAATAAAAATGTAATTATCAAATTTGAAAAAATAGTAACACCAAAAATTTTTTTCTATTTTTATTTTTTGCAACTTTGACTTCTTTTTCGTGCTTATATATTTCCTATAAACATTTTTTTTTCATAAATACTATTTTCTTTAAACTACAAAATTCTAATTTCATCAAAATTTCAAGTACAAAACATTTATTGCAAATGTTTAATTAAAAATATTGGTTTATAATTAAATAATTAAATATATACAAGCGAAGTTATTAAAATCTAAAGTCTATTAGTTGTAATGGGATTAATGATAATATTTAATTGTACAAAAATTCAATATAAAATATATAATAAAATAATAAAAGAAATAGAGACTATACTATTTATAATTTCCTTTCCGTATATTTCCTGTCTTTGTTGTCAATTTCAACTAATTGATCTACTGTATCAAAAATTAGGGGTTAATTAAACCGAAAAAATAGATCTAAGCAAGAAAGTGGAAGAATTCTCCACCCAAGTTTTGAAAGTGATATATTTAATATTTATCACTTTATATTCTAAAGGATAATACCTAAAATATCAAATAGAAGTATTTCTATCTCTAAGTCAGGACTTGAAAAAGGTCTTTTCATCTACACAACACATTAAATTTAGAAAAACTCGTTCGGAAAGCATTCTATTATTACCCAATAATATTGAATATAAAAACACAAATATGTAAAGTCATGAGTCATCAGAAAAGTATATTCACATTTTTAATTTTATTAATTTTTGTTGAGAATTATAAAAAAAAAATTTTTTAATTAAATTTTTTTTAAAATACAATATTTAAAATTGATTTTCGGTGAATAAGATAAAGCCTAATTATCAAGACATTTCAGGAAAGGTTGATTTTTTTTTTCTTAAAAATGAAAATTAAAATTCATTAATATAATTTAGAAATTTTAAGATCTTTGATTAAGATATTTTAAGATATACAAATTTGCGATTTAAAAATCAAAATTTATAATTTCTATTATTTTTAATGATTTTGACTTGTTTAATTGAATTCTAATTTTACCTTTTATTTAAGAAATAATTCCAACAATTTTAATTTTATTTGTAATAATATAATATAGAGAAGAATTATGGTACTTCACAATTAGATTGGTTACTTTATTTAAATATTAAGATCGATGCTAAAAGCATTGATAATTAGGAAAAATCCTCCGGAAAAAGTTTGGTTCTTTTTAATTTATTTCTTTCACAAATTTAAAATTCAATTTCTAACTATATTATTATATTTTCATGACATGGTTAGATTTTCTATTTTATTATTATTATTTTTTTTTAATTATTATTTTAGATACTTTAGAAAATGGTTCTAGAATATCTAACGATGTCAGAATAATCAATAGAATGGAAGACGGTTTCAATTAATTTATTTAACAATCTGTATATTTGTTTTTATTAAATTAATCCACTTTATTTTTATTAACTTAATATAATGACTAATTTTATCATTATATGTAACTGTGATGATGAACTGGCATAACCGATACATCCGATAATGGTTTTTATTCTTTTGGTTATATATGTTGCGCCTCAGATCGATTCTTGACTCAGATTAAAAATGGCCAAAGTTAGGGTTAGGGTTGGCCAAGGTTAGAAGAATCTACATAGGCTAATTTTATAATTCTGGTCAATGGTTGACACTTGAGGTGCCTCAGTCGCGATCTGAGTCAATAATGTGATCTGAGGTACAATATATATACATATAAATAGATAATCTGTGAAAATAATGTACTTTTATTTATAATAAATATAATAAATGCAAGTTTTATGTTAAATATCAGAGGTTAATATTTTTTGAAAAGGAACATGTCTGCATCACGTGAATCTTTCCAATTGTGATCTCCCAGAAGCAAAAATATTATGGGCACCACCACTATAAATAGATTTATACCTATGAACTTTGTTTCTTCTTTTGACAAAAAGTCTTTCTTAAATCTTCATATAATCATTTTAAGTACTGTCCTAATATTAATTTTCTCTTTCCCGTTTTTTCATTAAATTTTAGCCATCAAAGGTGTGTAATATCTACAGAATAGATTTCCTATAGCATTCATATACTGTACAAGGTTCTTGATTTAAAGATACATCTGCGCTGCACACATCACATAGAATTTCGTGTGCTTTAATTGTTTAAGATATATGGTTATTAGAGTTTTGTAAATCTTGGTTGCTTATTTCTCTGCAGCCACGACACCTAACGGACACGTAGGTAAATATCAAGCTAAATTTTGTTAAATAATCACTTTCCAATATAATTATAGTATTAATAATAGTTTTTACTAAATTCCAATTTGTGCAATAAAAATGATTTTCTATTATCGCGATTTTCAAATTAGTGCGATAATGTAATATTTGAATAGCAAAAATATCGTTTTTGTTAGACTATGGTTATTTTTTTTTGATATACCTATGGTTATTTTTTGATATATCATTTTTCAACTAATTATTTGATGTTTGTTATTCTATAAATTACATCACGTTACTTAAAAATAAAGATAACGCAGATCTCTCAACAAGAACACGTGGCTGATCCTCAAATTTCAGCCAATAAAAATTGATATTCTCTCGAGTCATCACGTGTTGTAAATCTAACCGGAATGTTATTGGCCGAAATTCGAGGATCAGTCACGTATTCTTGTCGATAAGGTATTCGAAATTATATAAAATCAGATTTTTACATTATTGCACTAATTTGAAAACTGCGATTGCATTTTTAATGGTTGATATTTTTCTGAAATATTAATGTTTAAAGACTAAATTTTACTTCAAATTAATTTGCACAATGGAGGTGATTTTTCACAATAATGTTTCTAATATCATTTGAAAACTCTCATTTCAGGTTTACAATTGTAATTAAATTATCATTATTCCATTCAAATACAATGAATTAAATATTAATTATAATTTAAGCAGTTATTCTTGACAGATATTAATGTTGTGTCAGAATTTAATCTTTGAGCCAGAATTTAGCTTGCAAAAACCAAATTAACCGAAGATACAATAATTGACCAACTCTAATATTAAAACCATCATCTTTAGTACAAACAACTGAATCTAAAGAACAAGCTTGATATCTCCTGTTTGGAGATCATGTCTATTTTTTTTAAAAAAAAAAAAATATTGATTGCTTCCTTTATCCTTATTGCCATTTATGATAAACACGTGTAAAAAAGACAATTTTTGTTTACTGATTCCTTTTGTATAGTGTACAGTACAATAAATTATTCTTTCTCCTGTGCCTTTTGATTCTTACTGATAACAAACTCCTGAACTTGGGTTGCTTCCTTTATTGTTCATCAAGAACATTGTAGGGTAAGTTTTTCATAAGGCTGTTTGTTCTATTGTCAATATGTTCTTTTTCACAAAATAGCATAAGATTCTGGAATATTACGGTATCTACGGAGTATTTCTATAAATAATATTACATAAAGTTACAAAATATTCCATGAATTTATGTAATATTCTCTAGGTACCATAATATTCTGGAATTTTATCCCCTATAAACTTATAGTAAAGTAATTAAAAAAGAATTTTTTTATGGTTTTATTGTTGTATAACGATATGCTTAAGTAATAACCTTATATGCATAACAATAATGACATCCCGTGCCATAACACATAACACAATACTTTATAGTTATGGTCACGGACTAAACATTGTAAATCTATTCTGAACATCTTTTACCATAAATAAATACGCTTTAACTATCATATTATTATATTATTATTATTGACTTTTTTTAAAGAAAAATAATTTTTTAAGAGGTTAATAATGATATAAAAATAATAAATGATAACAAATAATAATAGCATTAATAAAATTAGAATTTGGAATTTAGAATTTATATTTATTAGTTTAGTTTAGTTTTTTTTTTGACATAATCATCAAAAAGTAATAAACAAACAAAGATTTTTTATCATCATCATGCATTAAATCATAATTATTGGTATCACAGATCTGTCATGAGATTCTCCAAGATTTTCGAGATTTTCAATCTTTTTCCACATAACATGTATATGTATTATCATTTTGATGAGGTTATTTATTATTATTATTAGCATTTATTAAAGCATTTATGTTGATGATGGCTATGTCGTTTTGTAATTTTTTTTTTTGCAAAACTATTATTTATACCAAACATGCACAAAATACACAAAGTTGCGGCGTACACAATGAATGAAATGTATACCATAACGTAACATCGTACATGACTTATGACTTATATTTTTATTAATTATTCTAATTATGTTAATTATGTTTTGATCATGTCTGGCATATATTGAATTCCTTTAATTATTTTTATTTCTTTAATCCTTCGCTTATACAAATTTATGTAGTGATTCTTTTTATTAATTGTTATTAATTATTCCTATATATTTATAATTATGTTTATCATGAATTTTCGAATTTTTCTGACAAATATAATAAGAATTGCATTCACACGCTAGACTTTCGATTAATATCCTGGACCTTATCTGAATATTTTATTTGTCATTCTAAATGACTTTTTAACATAAACACGTAATAGTAAGTTTTATATAGAAATTGATAACTTATTTACTTTGTCAAAACAAAATATATTGTTATAATAATACATTTATAGTTAACCCATTAAAATATTTACCGTAATTATGTAATCTCCATGTGACGTCATTAATAAAAAATATACACGGAATATCTTTTCTCAGAAAGGAATAATTTTAATAAAATAATTGATATTTTTTTTCTTGCCTGTATACAATCGAAAAGAGTACGAATTAATATATTATTCTAAGGTATTGTTGACATTTTGACATTGCGTGAATGTGAAAAATACGAATTTGATCGTAAAGCTTTCTAAATTAGGCAAAGATAGGTATTATCGATCCGAAAGAATGATAATGTTTGATCTCGTGTTTTTTTTTTCCGTAAAAAAGCAAGGTGATATGGAAATATTAATACTAATATTTAATAATATTATATGTTAATTAATTTGCGATTTTATCTAAGAGTGTTTAGAACAAATAATTAAATAATTATAAAATAATAATTTTTTTTAAATAAACGAGCTTGCTTATAATTGGTTCCAATAATGAATTTTTGGTAAGAAATGAAATTCCTTCTTTATTCTATTATCAAGAATTGATAATAGCGATAATGCAAATGGTCATCTGTCTCATTACGTAAAGACCTTAGTTTTTTATATAAATTTGATCGGTTTCCGATTAACAAAAAATAGGAAAATGTAATTTTTTCTTTCTCTATAAAAAAAAAAATCCACATATAATTTTAGTAAGAAAATTTTTAAGTTTTATGCATTCTCATAATGATCGAAAAAATCGAAAAAAAAAGGAAAACTATTGTTAGAAATTTCAATAGAAACACTGTACACCCCCCTCCTCCAATTAACCTAACGATAATTAATGATATAAAAAAGCGTCCTCAGTACAGCGCATGCGATATATTTCTAATAAATGTTGTACAAGTGCTTAAAAGACAAAACGAGACGGACAAGATTATTATTCGAAAAGTAATAGATGATTTGTGGAGAAATTCGTCAACGAACGAACAAATGGCATATCGGCATTTAGCAGAAAACATCAATTCACTTTTACCGCATATCAGGTGAATAATCTGAGACAAACAAAAATGATATTATAAATAAGAGGCATCTAAATACTTTGGAAAATGAGAAGCAATCGTTCTAGACATTTTATTGGTAAAATTGGCAAAATAATAACGTTTAATTTAATGGAAAAATGTTTGGTGCGTTATTTTTTTTTTGTAGACATAAATATTTATGTTTATATTTTATTTTATTCATTTGTTAAACTAAAGCCTGGTCATTTCATTTTTTATCAACGAATCTGTTATGTGTCATATGATTGGTCAACTGGTTGCACAATTAATAAAGTTTTCACGGGATTCCCGATATATTATTTCGTTGTTTTATAATAAATTAATTCGGAAAATTCGTACAGTATAGTTTAACTCCACTTATTTAAACACCATGAATAAAGTCTGAACTAAAGAAAAATCATGTCAAGCACCTTACACAAAATTCTTAAGTTTACTAGAATGTTACCAATAGAATAAATAAACAAGAAAACATCTATTACATCGTTGTAGAAATTTAATTCTGCGGTATATCTATGGTCTAGAACAAATATTTAAATAATTATAAAATAAATATTTCTTATAATTGGTTCGAAACAATTTTCGGGTCATGAAATAAATGAAACTCATTCCTTATTCTATTGCCAATCTTGATAATAGTTGGTAATGCAAATGGAAACATTACATAAAAGTACTTTTGTTTTCATATAAATTTCGATAATGTTTTTCTTTCTACAAATTCCTCTCTCTGTGAAATATTGCAAAAAAAAAATCCACATATAATTTTTATAAGAAAACTTTAAATAATAAACCGATTATATGAAACTTTAATTCATAGCAGCAATAATAGGTATAGCACATACGATATATTTCTAATAAATGTTGTCGAGTCGGACAATAATATTATTCGAAAAGTAATAGATAATTGTGGAGAAATTCGTCAACGAACGAACGAACGAACGAACAAGATATTCGATTTTAGCAAGACAAAATAATTCACTTTTCGGGTGAATAATCTAGACAAACAAAAAAAAAGATATTATAAATAGGAGGCATTTAACACTTCGGGAAAATCGTTCTAAAATTTATTGAAGCGGAAAAATGTTATTACAAAAGGGGAATTGAGGTTATCTAATCTCAATCTTACTCACGGAAATTTCCTCCGAAGTATTAAATGTTTTCCCGAAATTAAAAACCTGAAATTAAAATTCGGAGAAAAATAACACAAATTGTGTAACCGCATGGAGCAATGAGCTATATATTTATTTTATATATTTATGGCCATATGACCTGTTATGACCGATAGTTAATTATAACCTAATATGACTTGAAATGGCTATATAAAGAACTTATTTTGGCTTCTGGGCAAATTGTCCAGAAGCCAAAATAAGCGGAAAAAAATGTCGTTATTAATATCAGAAACTGTGTTAACATGCGAACCTAGGTCTAAAAATTATGGCTTTTGCCTTACCTGCTTTAAACAAAACAAAATAAATTGGTGTAAAGAATGCGAAATTTCTGCATTTAAGAAAAATTTTAATAGATGGACTAGTGGAAATAAGTTGATCGATTTTGTTATTCAAGAAACTCAAAAAAATGCCTCTGAAAGCACGGACTTTTTAGAATGGATTTCATTTGAAGAACTTGATCTCATAGAATTTTGTGGAAAAGGGACCTTCTCAACAGTTTATTCAGGTTATTGGTTAGAAGGTCCCCGTTGGATTTGGGATGATGAAGGAGATGAGTGGTCAAAGAATGGTCCAATAAAAATCGCAATTAAACGAATTGACTATTCTCAAAATATCACCAAAGAATATGCCGATAAGGTAAAACGAATAATTGCACAAGTGTCTTTGGACGATAATAACTCGACGAATATAAAATATGATTTAACTACCATTGCGAAGCTTAAGAGGAAGGCTTTCAAATGGTCTTAAAATCATCTTAGTTAAAATTCTTTTTTCTCACGTTTCCCATTTTTAAATTTTTATTCATAGATTTTGAAATACCGCATTCAAAGTGGATCCTTTGCGGACTGTTTTGGAATGACCCGGGATAATACTGGATGCTATGCCTTCATTATGAAGTATTATGAACACAACCTCTACCAATATCTCGATGAAGCTAAAGGGATACTCTGTTGGCGAGATATTGTCGATATGTTATGGGGAATCTCTGAAGGGTTAGAAAAAATTCATAAAGAAGGCTTTAGTCACGGAAACCTACACGGAGGGAATTTATTAATTGAAAATGAGCCTGAATCCGTTGATGTTAGAATAGCTGATATAGGAATTCATGGATCAGTTAATCAAACAACGACCAGATATGGTGTATTACCCTTTGTCGCGCCAGAAATATTAAAAGGTTTTCCTTACACTCAAGCATCAGATATCTATAGTTTTGGTATAATTATGTGGACATTATCAAGTGGCATAAGACCATTCTGTGATAGAGCTCATGACAAAATACTTGCAACTGAAATAATTAATGGATTTCGACCAACAATAATTGAGGGTACACCACAAGTTTATCAAGATTTGATGATTAGATGTTGGGACAATAATCAAGAAGCTCGTCCCAAGGCAGTTGAAATATATAAGATTTTATGTAATTGGGTAACAGCTATATGTGATGACCCAGACCCTTCTGAAATATCTAACCAATTTGATTTAGCGGAAGAAAAGAAGTTCGCAGATTTAGAAAATAATAAATTTATCATCCCCCCTAATCATAGTCAAGCAAAATATACTAGTCAACCATTGAATTTTTAATTTTTTCATTAAATATAGATCATTCCACTTATTTATTTATTTCGCATTCGCATTCGCATTCGCATTTTCATTGGCATCAGTGAATTTTTATTTTATTTCGTGTACGTATAGCAAACAAAAATAACGCTTTTTATCGCTTTTCAACTCTCTGGGTCCTGGATCTAAGTATTTTCTAATAAGCAATAATTAAGACTATTATAGATTTAAGATATATAAGATTATACCATATCACAGTGCCTAATTTAATTGGCAAAAATCTGAATATCTGAATAAAAAGATTTTTCCAATACCCAAAGAATTCAAATTTGCTGGGCATTACCATTATTTTTGATATTCATAAACGTTTTTGTTTTTGCATGTGAAGTCATATTAAAGTTTGAATCAATAAATTAAATGAGAAAGAAAATGTATTAAAATTAGCGAAAAGATAAAAATATGACAATGAATGTTTTATGATGGGAAAAATTATTTTTAGGTTTGTTTCTTTTTCATGTGCCCTCCGGATGAAAATCATATGATTATTGTAACCGCAATTAAACATGTCATTTCATTCATCAAACCCAAATTCGGATATTATTTAATATTATTTGTGCTACTAAGAGTTACCAGTGTAGTGTGAGTGATCAATTTTTAATTTTTATTGATAACTTCTTTAATCATAAATTTGTTTACAATAAATGCTTTTTAATTAAAAATCTGGTTAGACTTCTTAAACATTAATTTAACAAAACACTACCGATTCAAGGTCCAATTAAATGTATTAACATTTATTATTGGATACTTGTAGTACATTTTTTATTATTATATCAATACATCTTATTTCTTGCATTTCTGCATTTAAATCTGTTATTATTCCAATGGTGTATTATGTATTTACTAGGAAACGGGAACTGTTGTAATCCGGAGCAGTATATATTTGAATTTAATTAATTAATTAACATGTTAAAGAATATACAAAATATAAAATAAAGCTTTCAAAAAAATTAATTTGATTTGATTGGCAATATTGTTGTTTATTGTTTATTGTTTATTGGTTAATGCTGTTTATTATCAAACATTATTGTTTGGCGCGACGCGGCGTTTACAACCGGAAATGTATTCACGTGGATCAATTTTCAAACATAGTGCGTAAAAGTATAATGTCCTACGCTTCGCTCTGGACAATTATTCTGTTGTGATAATATGTTACATATAGTGCATTATGTTTAACAGTTCTTCTGTTAGTAGTTTGGTTTAATTTGGTTGTAATTGTTCCCAAGTAAATTGAGTTTCTTGAATATTTTATAATAGATTGAATTTTTTTGTTTTGTCAGGGTTTTCATAATACGAGATAAAATATTTTTCAGATTGAAGATTTAAATACTGGTGATCATTGTGATCATTAATTGGTGGAAGTTGTACACAATTAATTATCAACAAAAATTAACAATCTTTAAACGAATTTTTGGTGTATATTTTTAAAATATCTCATCATATTTTGATAGATCATGACGAGCTACAAAATAATGTTGAGATTATTCTGATAGGATATCAAGATCAAAAGATATTAATCCAAAGTTTGGAATTTATGTATAAAATAAAAGATTTGAAACATATAATTTTAACCAGAATTATATTAAATTCCTGTAACACCAGCCTAATGCAAGAATAAAGTTTTTTTTTAAAAAAAAAGCATAAATACCTAAAAAATTTTAAATTTGGTAACTTTTATAACGTATACACATAATAAACTACTATCATGTGATTAAAGCTAGGATAGAGTTAGGGTTAGGGATTGGTCAGTTAATTAGAGTTAGACATGGGGTAAAATACTTGTACACATGTGTACTTTGTTTTACATTCCTGTACTCTAAACGTATCTATTACTCCCGTGCTAATTATTATTTTCAAAAAACTTTTTATAATTTAGAAGTTTTAGACGTAAAATAGAAAAAAAAATTTTTTGAATAAATTACCCTTTATGGAATAATAATAATTTAAAGCCAACTGAAAAAGTGTCTGCAACTTGGCAGTACGAGCCAATAGTTCAGGTATAATTTAATTTAATTTAATTTAATTTAAAAATATTTTATTTTAAAATTTTTTTCAATCAATCTTTTTAAGTCCTAAAGTGCCACTTATTATATATATATATATCTCTCCTTCATTGCTATTAGTCTTAAAATATTGGATACATATAATCCGGTTTCACCTGAATACCGCGGGTGAACTTTTGAAACCAGATCATCGCTTGCAATTTGTGAAACATGGAACGATTTTCTACTAAGGTATTTCTATGAGCCTTCTTAGCTAAAAAATAGTATGTGCTTCACCCATGTAGAATCGATATTCGCGAAGTTATTCCAGTTTAAAGAAAACGTCTGTGAAAAATTGTGCCGAAAAATTTTCGCGGAAATTTCATAATGCTAAATTCCACAGTAATTTCACGATTTTTCACGGACATCTTTCTTTAAACTGAAATAACTCTGCAAATATTGGTGCTACAGGGATGAAAAATATACCATTTTGTATCTAACAACAAGGCCATTCTATATATAATAGAAACACCTTAGTATAAAATCACTTCATGTTTCGCAAATCGCGAGTGAAGTCGGAAAAAATATTAAAATTGCATAAATTTTTGCTTCCTAATGCATTATGGTTAAATTTTATTTTATCCAATTTGAAATTTAAGCATTATATTAATTAACCTAGATTGAATATACAGTAGAACCTGTATATAAGCATACTGTCAGGCCAGCAAAATCCAATGCATATAGACAGGTTAAGTCAATGCTGTCACAAAAAATTTTTATAACAGGAAAGTTGTATTTTTTTTATTAATAAATAAAAATAATATTTTTACATGAAGAATGGATAAATAGTGAATAAATTAATGAAAGACAAACAAATGAATAGAAGAATGGACAAACAGACAAATAAAAAAACAGAAAAATAGGTGAACTGAAGAATGAATAAATTTATAATTAATAAAAAGATAAATGACAATGGATAAAATAATGATAAATTTTACATATTCCGATACACGTGATTATGCTTATATACGATCATATAATCTAGAATTTTTTTATGCATATGCGTATGCTTATAGCTTATATGGGCTATAAAAATTTTATGCGCTTAGGCAGGTTATGCTTATACACAGTATGCTTTTATACAGGTTCTACTGTAATTTGAATAAAACCAGATGAGCTAAGTGTAAAGCGATTTTCTACTAAGATATTTCTAATAAAGAAAGAAAGGCCTTGTTCTTGGCTACAAAATTATATGTGTTTCATCCCGATAGCATCGATATTTGCGTTTAAGGTCTAACGTCCGTGAAAATTTCAGTTATAAATTTCCGGAATTTTTCATAATTCCGGCCAGAATTACGGACAATTTATGGCTGAAAACGTTCTATCTTAGTCGAAAAAAATGCGAAAATCCTCCGTTTGTAATGAAAATCCTCCGCCTCCTATTAAAATTTATTGATAATACTCTACACCAGGAGAAATCGGGTGAAAAAATTTATTTTAAAGTCATCCAGATATCCAGTTTGTTTAAAGGGACTGTCCAATTCCTAATTTAAAAGAGGGACGCAAGAAAAATTAGACAACAAAATTCAAGATAATAATGTTGAAAACGATATAATTTATATAATTTAGAAATTAATGAAAAATATATATCTCACATAAATTATAACTTAAAACTATTCAACATTATTTGTAACTTCTTAATAAAAGGTATGCAAAATTAGAAGCAAGTCAAGTTGTTACAAACTTCTTAGTCAAGAAAAACCGCTTGCTTGTTGTATTAGAAATTTGTTCAAAGCATTTATTTATTAATGATGTTCCAAAACTAATCATGGTTCGCATTTTAAAGGATGTAGTATTATTGATCATGAAAATATTCAATTAAAGATAATTTTATATTTATAATAAATAAATTTAATATAAATGTTAATAATTTTTGTAATTATATTGCTAAAAAAAAGTTACTTCTCTTTGTTCAATCTGACTGGTACAGTTAATAATGAAACCAACCTTCCTATAGACCTAAACTCTCCAAATACTACCTGCCATAATTATATATTTCTTAATATGGACCAGAACTCTACATGCTATAATCCTCTATGGATCAAATTCTCCAGATATTACTTATTTTATATTATCGATTATATTTTATTAAAAATTGTTTTAAATATTTAAAGCAAATCAATAGATAATAATCAACGGAGGATTTTCACATTTTTTTTGATAGAAAGATCTTGGCTACAAAATGAATTGTTTCATCCTGATATTCGCGTTTAATTTCGAACGTCCGTGAAAAATTTCAGTCATGAATTTTTCGTAATTCCGACCAGAATTTTGGAAAATTTATGGCTGAAATTTTTCATGGACGTTTGAATTTAAACGCAAAGAACTCCGCGAATATCGATAAAACTTTTTATAATTGAATGTCAAAAAATGGTACTAAGAAACCTCAAAGATAAAAATTAATTTCATATTATATTAAAAGGACAGACCTATATCTTCAAAATTGAGCGAATGATTGTCGTTTAAATATTTTTTTTCGTCCGTTCAAAATTTAACTGCCAATTTGTTCAATTTTGATAATATAGCACCTTTGAGATTACTTAGTACAGTTTTTAATATTTACTTATAAAATAAAAAGTTTTATATGTAGCAACCATCGACGATTATTTCCCGATTTTATATATAATTTATATAATTACATTTGACATAATTACGCCAGAATTACGACATTGTGGCATTGCGGCATTGCAACACAATTTCGAAATTGCGGCATTGTAGAAATTATGAAAATAGGTTAAATTACTCTTTTTCAATTAGAGTTCTTCTTCCTCAGGATAATATTAATACAACGAATATAGTATATCTTTAAGTACTTTTAGAGACCTAATATATTTGATTTAAATTTAGATATACAGTAATGTTGCACTCCGTTAGACTGTTTGAACAAAAATTACTTTTTATCGCAAAATTTTATTATAAAAAGCTGTCTTAAGCCATTAATTAAAGTTATTCAGAATTGATTTTTACATATTTTTGTAAGTTTCAATATATATATTTATAAGCTAGTTAAGAGTACGGACAGGGCGGATGCGGATCAAAAAGTTCAACCTTGGGCTCACGTATTCATTAAACAATACACAATGGTGGATAAAAGGCTTTGCTATTGGCTGGCTATTACAGTGTTCAATGACCACTAATCTAGTATTATAAATATTGTATCGCGCAAAGCATAGGCCATAATTTTATTTGGGAATAAAGTTGAAGATTCAACATCAAATGCTATCAATTAGAAAAAGCTAATAATAAATGTTAAAAAAAGCCAACAATAAGTTTGATCTTTGTAATAATTATGTTGGGAATGAAAAAAATACTTTATCATTTGATTATCTTTTTTTTTTTTGTTCAAGTTGCCTTACGGAGTTGCAGGAGAACTCCGTGGAATTACATCCCATTTGTCACACCAGATTTTTGTTATCAGAATAATGATCCGTAAATAAAATCTTAAGATTGTAAATTTAATTTTTTATTTATTTATATGCAATTATATTAAAGTAAATGTGCATTACCAAACAAAAAATTATAATAAAATAATTAAAACTGATTAATTTATTGTAAAAAAAAAAAAAAAATAATATATATATTTTTAAATAATAGAATGAATAAAATATCAATAAAATATATAGAATATTAATAAAATGATTAATATAACGTTTACAAATAATAAATATAAAATTGTTTTTGATAAAATAAATAAAATATGAATAAATGCTAAAAAATATTCCCAAACATATTATTGTCATATTAATTATATGTGCAGATATAATGGGAGAAAGAAAATGTAAAAAAAAAGGTTAATCCTTAATAAAAAAAAAGTAATAAAATATACGATGAAATATATTTAATAATAATATTTACACTATACACAATGAATTTCTAAAAGGTTTTCTTTTTCATTAATTAAGGTGCATTGGGAAATGCAAAATTAAAAATTAAAAAATATGATAAGTTTTATAATAATCTAACAAAATATTAAATCTATATAATCCGCCTGATTTATCAATGATATAATAAAGTGAAATAAATAATAAAGTGAAACATATAGCTTTAATAAGCAACAAGCTTCTTCCGGAGATTACGCTTGATTGATTTTTTGTAACGGTCTAATGTTTGTAGAAATCGGGGGAATGTTAAGATTTATAAACATTTTAGATGGTCTGCGAAGCCAACGAGCAATAAATCCTTCAAATCACCTTTCACAATCAACACAATCAATATTATGTCATTACCGTACTGTTCCTTGGTTTAATATGTCTTCGTTTCTGAACGGTAACCCAGCCCTCTTCTTTCTTGGACTGTGAAATTGCTACATTTTGTTGACCTTCCGGTGACATGATATTGGCTTGAGGTATTACTTCTACGCTTCTTGTTGTCTGCGTTGTCTCAACGACATCATTATGTTTCGAATTATTTGAATGCGATGTTGATGTTGGTTGAAGTTTCGGAGACGTCGTCTGACCTATACTGCGATCTATGACAGTTTCTATTGGTTCGGATTCGATAGGTATTACACTAATCTTAGGAGATGTTTTTGATGATTTTTGTGATTGCTGAGCCTTTTCGGTTTGTTCACGTGCTTTTCGTGCTGATTCCAACTTTGATTTTTCAGTTCTTAGTCTTTCGTTTTCTTTTATTAATTTTTGAGCTATATAATATTAAAGAATGGGGTTAGTGAGTAATCAAAATAAAAAAAAACTTTGCATAATTGTAATACCAAAAACTTTAAAACCTTGCGTCTTCGCTGATTCATTTTGTTGTTGTAATTGAATCTTCATTAATTCATTTTGTTGTTTTTGTTGTTGTAATTGAATCTTCATTGATTCATTTTGCTGTAATTGCATCTTCGTTGAGTCATTTTGTTGTTGTAATTTTATGTACTGTTGTTCGAGTGCGTTGTATTTTTCAAATTCTTGTTCTATTAAATTATAATTTATTGTAACATCACAATTTATAATTAATAATTATGCAAAACAAATAACAACAATATCCTTTCGTGATAACAAACCTTTAACACGCAATGAGGTTGATAAGGTTTCATATTGATGCCTCAACTCTGATATTATACGTTCATTACGACTTTTTTCCCATTCACTTGCTTCTCTTGTGGCTTTTAATTCAGCCTTTGTAGAAGATAGTTCTTCTCGAAGTTCATCGGGTGTTGAAACATTTTCGTGTTTATATTTTACTGAATAAAGTTCGGCCTTTATTGATTCAAGTTCTGATTGAACGGAATCGTGGTGATCTTTTGGTACCGTTAGTTTGATCATTTCTAATTGGTTTTGTATGGTTTGATCGCGACTCTCAAGTTGATCTTTGAGTTCTTGTAAGGATGAATTGTACTGTTTAAGTTCATGCTGTAAAACCTTTTGAGCAGATTCAGATTCAGATTTCTTGGTTTTCAAATCACGAATTTCGGATTTTGCGTTTTGAAGTTCAGCTGCAATCATTTTGTTTTCTTTTATCATTTCTTCCTTTTCAGCAACTATTTTTTCTAATTTAATTTTCGTAGATTGATCAAAATGTTGTTGCTGCTCGGTAACAGCTTTTTTGGCGGTTTCTGCTTCAACTTTACTTGCTTTTAGCTCAGCTCTTAGTTCATTAATAATTTTCTCTCCTTTCTTTACATCATCTTTCAGATCCGCTATTTCATCAGTATTCTTGCTGAGAGAACGTTTGCTATTTTCCATGAGATTGGTTAGATTGTTTAATTCTTTTGTTTTTAATTTAAGTAAACTTTGCGTTTTCTCGAGACTAGTAGTTAGATGAGCATTTTCTTCAACACTCGAATCAAGAGAACTCCTTGTCTCTTCAATGATGGCTTTCAATGTGATATTTTCGTTAGAGGTCGATTTTATCTCTTTTTGACTAGCCGTAAGATCGGATGTAAGTTGATCGATGTGATTAACTTTTTGACCAATTTCTGTTAATAGTTTGGCGTTTTCTGCTTTGCTTTCGTTTAAAGCGAGTTGAAGTTGTTCAATTTTGTTTTGAGCATCATTATTTTTTTCTTGTTTAACGGAGAATTTTTCATCATCTTTTTTTGTGGCCGTCAATTCTGAGGTAAGTTGTTGAATGGTAGAGTTACGTTGTTCAAGTTCTGACTTTAAATTGATAATTTCTTGTTGGTTGTCCACAAGAACGGCTTTTTTATTCAGTTCTTCAGGTTCAACTTGAATTCTCTCAGATGTTTCTTTCTTGAACTTTTCGAATTCATCTTTTATAGTAGCCAATTGAGAATTCAATTCTTGAACGATAACATCTTTTTGCTGTAATTCAATCTTTAATTGGTCAAACTCTGTATTATCTGGTTGTGCAGAGTCACCTTTTTGAAGTTTTTCGATAGTTTGTTTGCTTGCCTCAAGTTCATTGGTTAAAGTTTGATTACGATGCTCTAAATCTTCTTTGACCTTATCGGCTTCATTTTTTACCTTTTCAAATTCTTCATATAATTTATCCATATCAGGAAGCATACTGCTACGATTTAAGCTATACATACTATTACGATTATTATTACTGTCAATACTTTTCGCATAATCACTATCAGCTTTCTCTTTCGTGTTAGACTGGGGTTCTTGAACTATTGTAACAGTTTTTTCGTTAGGAATATCTTTGGTTTCTTTTTTCTTGCGAATACTTTTTCTAAATTTTGACATTAGACCATTTTTATTATCTTCTTGTTTCATCTTTTTTTGAGTATTATTAGACATTACATGCAATAAGTTTTCTTGAATAACTACAATAAAACTATCTTACAATAACTATTTTCTATAAATAGAATAAATTCAAAGATGATTTTCCCCTCGAATATATATATTTAGAATAAATTCAAATGAATAACGATAATTTAGAAAATGTATTAATTATTTATTTATTTTTTTTTTTCGGTTGGGAATAAATGAAATAAATGTGAATAAAAAGGGAAATGGCTGTGTATTTATAATTTTTTTGGTGAAAAACGCAAAATAGGTGAGAATAATAAAATAAAATAATTCTAAGTTAATATTTTTTTAAAAAAAAAATGATAAGCTAAGCAACAATAATAAAGCCAAGCCGAAAACCAAAAATTATATTAAATAAATATATAAAATTATTTATATATATCACGACAAATAATAAATATATGCTTTTGATGTATTATTTGGTATTTAAAAATTAAACTTGTGTTTGAAGGATAATAAGCAAAGGAAACGTTGAGTTGAATAATTTTTTTTATCCCACACATATATATATATAATAAAAAGAACCAATGGAAAGAATTAAAATAATTAATAAATTACCAAAGAAAATATGCAATATGTTTAATATGTTTAGACAATAAGCCGTTTATATATTGGTAAAGTAAAAAAATTTAAATGCATCTTTATTGATTACACACAAAAACATTTACTATTTTAATTCTAGTTATTACATGTTACTGTGTGGTATTACGTGAAAAAAAAAAAGTGATTATTTCGGTTATTTCGATTATTACTATCAAATAATCTAATCTTCCATTATACATTATTCATTAGCATTTAATATTATTTCATTACACTTCACAATATTCTTTCATTTATCAATCCAACAATCAAGCGTTTAATCAATTATTTAATTGCACCTTATCTTACATTTATGTTTATATCCATCTGTCGGACAATCTTTGTCTCGTGTAAATAATGTTTAATTATTAATTATTATTATTATTACTAACTGGACCTAAATTTCTTTCGTTCAATAAATATTTAAAGTTAAATATATTTTTACATCTTGGTATTTGACTTGCATAAATTGCTTCTCACGTTTTTTTCATGATGATCTCGTGTGATTATTTCTTTTAGACTCCACACTAACACAAATATCATAAATATTGTCGAGTGAAATAATGTTAATTATTAAGACATTTTATTTCGATTGTTCACTCAATTTATCCGAACAATAAGCATGAAATTGTAATCTGGATACATATAATGTTTCAGTTGTTTTATAAGCTTTACCATTTATTAATCTACTTGGAAGAATGTCAACTCTAAAGGTCCAGGTCCATGTCATTTGTGTAAGAGTGCGGACCAATTTGCAGATTCAATTCTTTTTTACGCGGTTGCATAAAAGTTATAAATTGTCTTGGCTCCGAAACGATAATAAACTTAATTTGGGTTCATTAAAACTGAAATTCCTGCAATCTTGCAGCTTACCCTTTATTCTAAATAAAAGATTTCTCCCGTTTTGTTCCTTTTCGGGAAAAAAGGAAACGATCTACGATATAAATTATAAGGAACAAAGCTCGAAAACGTTCGGGGGAAGTTTATTTCATGGTTTAAATCATTTAAATAATTTAAATCACAGTCGTTCCATGCCAAGTTGGTCATATTCATTAATTACCGAAAAAAAATAAATAAAGAAAACCTTTTTAGATAATCATTGAAAAAATTATAAATTCAGAAATGCAGGATGTTTCAGGGGTGCAGTTTCCAGAATATATTTTTTTTTTAATAGAATGATCATTATTTCTATATTTTATTTATTGGACAACAACAGATAAAGATTTAGAATTAAAAAAAAAAAAAATGTCCGATGAAATTATGTATACATAATTTTTTTTTCTCTATAAAAATCGAAAGAATAAAAAAAATCTTATAATTAATTCATTTTGCGTTATTTTTAGAGCTCAATAAAACCTTTTAAGTGATTCCTGTTTGATCTTGTTTCAGTTAAATTAAGTCAAGACAATTAGTTACCAAAATTCAACTTTACTATAAACAGTAGTATTATCAAAAAAAAAAATACTAAAATTTGACAAATCATCTACAAAACTTGTTTATCTGTATAATACTACTAAAAAATTATTATTATCATCCTTGTATTGTAAAGTGACAACAATGAATGACATTAAAATTATTTTTACCTATTCTTCTTTACTATTCTTTCCTTTTACAATTTAAAAAAAATATATAAATTTATATAAAGTTTTATGAAGCACATGTGAAAATTTATTCTGGCAACTTGAAGAAATTTTGATCTTTGATTTTCCTGTATCCAAATTGCGAAACTTGGAAATTTATGAATATTTATAAATTCCTATAATTCAGTTAATAAGTTAATATCCCAATTACCACAAAATAATTCACATTTAATTCATAACCATCAAATTATAGGTCATTAAAATCTAGTCTTTCTTTTATGATTATAAAAAGGAAACAACTCAACTTTCAAAAATGTTATAATCCAATTATATTAATATAGGATTTAAATAAATATGCAGAATGTTCATTACAGCTCAAACACCAACCCCATTTTTCTATAAAAAGTATAAAAAGTGTGGAATCTAAATATAATCTATTTACTACTATTCTTGTACAAAGATCAGCTGACTCTATTATAATTTCCTTGTTCAAAATCACTTTCCACGTTTTTCCACAATTTCTATAATTTATTATACCATTGATGTTCTAAAAGTAATCTTTGTGAAATAATTTAGAATTTTTCTGAATATGTTATTCATTGGAAGCAAACAAACAAAATAAAGAATTAATGATATGATTTACCTTAAACGCTTTAATAACATGTGAACTGCAAACTGCGAAATACGTGTTTGCTTGTGGTGCGTTATGTCAATGATAAATTCAATGTTACACCATAAGAACAAATCAAGAATAAATAAGTAAATTAAAATAAGAAAATATTAATGATGGTATCATGCATCTAATATTGCTTGTGCATTGTTCTTCCTTTCCCCTTCGAAGAGTAAACCAAATTGAAAATTTGTCAAGTGGCTGCTATGTAAATGATTTATGATAACCGCGCACAAGGATTGTAGCCTTGTTAGGTGGTTCATTTATTATCCAACCTAGAAAGAAATCTTTTTCCAAAACAGTAATATGAATGAACAATTGATGTCAAATATGTAAGCAATAATACGATCATTTAACCCCATTTTTTGAAAGGATCTTGAACATTTTTTTTTTTTTTTACCATCTACTTGTTACCCATCCGTGCGTGAATATTGTGAAAGTAAATTCGTTGTTACTCTTGAGATAAAATAAAAACAATTATATATAAATTTGATATTTTATTTGTTCCTTCAACATACAATTTGTACATATCTTGACTAATTATAGAAATTTTTAAAGAAAATTTTCATAATTAATACAATTTTTGACAAAATTAAGACTAATGTAACTTTTTATAATTTAAGCATAAAATGCAATTTTAAACTTCGAGAAAAAGAACTAAAAGACAAACAGAATTTTTATGTACTAATTGTATACTTATTTAGTGAGTAAACACAAGTGCATGGACTCATTTAAACATAAAAATAAATAAATAAATAAATATCCAAAAAAAAATTAGACCTTCAAAAAGGATATTATAACGCTCTTGATAATTTGTTCTTGAAGTCCAAATATTTGGGTAGTTAAATAATTGTTATAAATGCTGTAACAGATCTCTTAACTTATAACAATAGTTTATGTTTATTTTACATTGTTATTGGTGTTTATTTATTATGAATTTTCGAATAGTACGTACGAAGAAACTCAATAATTAGTTTTACTCCAACAAGAATTTATACTTAATTTGATTAATCAAATATATTTTTTAACGTGTTTAAGAACTTGCATAACTTTATCAATGTTTGGACGGTGATTTGGTTCTTGTTTCCAACAATCTATTGAAAAGTATATTTGTTAATAAAATGTATAAATATTTTCCTTAAGATATATAAAAAATAATAACCAACCTTGATAAATGTTAATATAATCTTGAGTTTCTCTATTTCCTTTTTTAATGTGAAACATTTTCAAATGTTCTAAATATTGTTTGAATGAAATTTCCCCACTTGAAATTTCCCATAATAAAATTCCAAAACTATATATATATGTCTGAAGCTTTAGTTCTATTAAATTTACCCCCCTTCAATGAAAAGCATTGGATCTGAGTATACTATTGATCCGGCTGAGTTTAATGAATCAATTGGAGGATCGGAGATATGCTTGGCTAATCCAAAATCAATAATCTTGATAATATTAATATGGATAAGGATATTATTCGAGTGTTATAAAAACAAAAGCATATTAAATTTAAATAAATAAAAAATATCTGTTCATTATATTACATTTAAAAAATTAATTAATTAATTACCAGATCTCTATGAATAATATCACAAGAGTACAAATGTTTAATCGCCTTAGCGATTTGTTGAGCGAAATTTAACTTATCACTCCATTCAAGATTTTTAAAGTTTGATTCTAGATAACGACGTAATGTTCCACAATTTGCATATTCTAATATAAGTATGTATTTCGATTACTATCCAAATCTGCGAAAATCAATAATATACGTTATAATGTATTTTTTAAAAATATTTATAGATTAAATTTGATATTTTTAACTTTTAGCGAAGCTCCATAAAACCCAATGATATTTTCATGTGAATCAAGTATTAAATGTTGTTTAAGCTGAAATATAATAGAGTATAAAATAATATTCAAAGTAAATAAATAAATTTACAATTCTTTTTTAAAAGATATTTTTAAAATAATATTTACATCATTAACAATTGATTCAATTGATTTTAAAGCTACTTTCATTTTTGTCATTTTCTCATCTATTAATGTTGCACTGTGGACACTTCCAAATGCTCCTCTTTTTATATATTTGAGATTTTCAAAATCATCATAATCGTATTTGTTAATCCCGTTGTTTTTTATTATATCATTAAACCATTCATGATCATTAAAATTATGAGTAGAAGCTTCTCCATGGTCCACTATAGCTAAAAATAATATTTTAAAATATAATAGAGCATTATTATTAAAGATTATATTTCTATAGCAAATAACAATCAATGCATATAATTATATAAATAATGCTTCGTATAATAAAAAAACAGAATGTATTTGATAGAAACATACTTGGACTACTTGCTTGGTTGTATGAATTAATATCTTTTAAAAAATTCAAAAAATAAATAGATTGATTAACTATTAATATTATCCGTGATTCCACAATTTGCTAAATTAGGGGGGTCGTCTAAAGCCAGGTACATCACGAAATTTTCCCTTGACTATGGCCAATCTAAATCGTGAATTTTTGTTTACGCGGATCAGCCCGAAGAAGAAAAAAATGAAAAACATGTCTTGGTACATTAATAAAAAGTGTCGGGGAGGAAATTTTACATATTATATATATACTTGACCCTAACTCTAGCATTAATTAATTTTAGGTAATTTCGTGATATACCTGGCTTTAGACATCCCCAAATATCCCCTAAATTAGGTATTATATCCTCGGATTTTTTAACAAAAGCTTATAGGAAAGATTATAATTAAATAAGAGTATAAATTCTTTGCATAATATAAAAAATAATTATAACATGCTTGAACCATTTGCTTGATTGTGTGTATTATTAACGTCTTTTAAACAATATAAAATAATAAATAGTTAATTAATGTCAAAATAGATGAATTAGATGATACAGAATCTTTTTTAAATTCTTCAGTATTTTCTATAGTTAATCTTTGGGTCAGATCATCGCATGAATAAATGCTGAGGTTGATAAATTTATTATATGAACTATTATTTAAATTGGTTAATATCTGTTTGACTTATCACACCTTTACCTGTTAATTTAATGTCAAATATATCAACTGATTTTTTCGAGTTTCAATATTAAGTTCTTCAATAAAGTATTCAAAAGCCATGTTTATATTTTTTTGATTAATATTATCTTTTTTGAATTTGTAGCGTTGAGAGTATATCAAAATAAATCGATATTTCCATCACTAATAAATTTATTATCATAATACACATCATTATCTCCAAGTAATTAGATTTTAATTCGCAAATGTTGTCTTTTTCCATGGTAGATAACTGAAATGAATAATAATTTAATGAGTTCATGTCTTCGAACTTTAATTAAAATTTTATAATGAAAGAAATTATTCATCTCAATGTAATGATTCTCATCAACAACAACAACATAATTATAACAATAACAACTATAATAACAACAGCAATGACGATTACTATAATAATAACTTTAATATTAATAATAGTACCATACTCGCTGACCAGTTAAAGGTCGTCTGATATTTGATACTTGTTGTTGAGGCTGAACGACTTGTTGTAGTAGAATACTTGATTGTATAGTTTGTAATATATTATTATTATAATTATTATTATTATTATTGTTATTATTATTCGAATTTAACGTGTGATAAATTCGGACATAAAGGTTGTGTTAATGAACAATGCATTTGTAATCCATTATTTAAATTATTCCTTGAGTTGCTGCTTGATTCTATAAAGAATTGGGTTGTAACAATTTTTTGTTGAATTAATTTTCGATGTTTAGCTAATCTTAGCTAATCGTTATTAACTTTTCTAATTGTTCTAATTATTGTGATTTTTTTTTTTCTTTAATTGTTGAATCTGTGATGTGCTTGCTGATACTATTGTTGTTGGGAAGCAGTACTGATATCAAAGCCAGCAACTGTAACAAAATCGGTAGCGGCAGCAGCACAGCATCATTGATTGCTTTATTGTCTTCATGAGAAGAAGTGGAGATAGAGGTAAAAGAGGTTAAGCAGGTTAAGTTCTAACTAATTGTGACTTTCCGGTAAATGTATTACTATTACTAATAGTGTCTCAGTCAGTATTTCTAGTTTGTCCACTATCACGACCACCTACAACTGATACTTGTTGATGTTGTAGTTGTTGTATTTTTTGTTGATGTATTTTTTCATGCATTTTTTTGTTGCTGTGTTGTAATTGCCAATATTGTAATTGTTGTTGCTGCTGCTGTTGTTGTTGACTACAAATAAAATGTTAATAGGATGGGCTATCTAATTAAAAAATTTATACGCTTCAGACTATAATTATAATAATGATCCACTTTAATACTATAAAATCAATTGAAAAAACTTATAGACAAAAATAAATTCAAGTATTAATGATAGCAGATTAAAATTAAATTATTGATAATTAAATGTTTAAATATCGGTTTATTAAAATCACAAAAAAAATACGTTTATTCTGTCATAACATGTATATATACATTCTATGAAATATCTTTATTAAAATTTCTTCGAAAATCTTTTTTATAAAAAATCTTTGTACAATTTTTAACTTATTATTTGAATAATTATCTACCCAAAAATTCTTTATCCTTGATTTGGTAGAGCTAAGTGTTAATTCATCAAAATTCAAAGTACATCACGACAATTATTTTCTAAGAACTATATATCACTACAAGTAGCAATAATGAAGTAATATTTAATGTATTTTTAATAATATTATCATAAATAATAAGTTCATCATCATTTACGTTACCCTCATCAGACTTATTATATATCAGTCAGTAGTTGTGATTTGAATTAGAAGAAAATTGATAATTATGATGGTTATTATTTAATAATACTTCACTAATGATAATAATCAAGCTTGATTGAGATAAAAATGATAAAAATGATAAAAATAAACGAATGAAACAAATGTTTGTGTTCTTTTAAATTTAATACTTGAATAATTTCCTTCCAAGAATTCTTTTCTTTTTTATTCATATTCCTTGACTGAAGTAGAAGTAGTTCCAGTAATTAAATTCGAAAAAAATAGATAAAACTATCAAATTTCGAAGGTTATAATATTATTACTACAAATAATATTTAGTTGTCCGGAGCATAGAGTAGAACATTTAATGGACGCGTAGGGTAAAACCAAAATTACGTTTTTGATATTTTTAAATAAAAAAATCAAAACGAAACTTTGGTAAAGGATGTCTGTCCGATTTTTTGATAACGATTGTTGTAGATAAAGAACACATGACAATAAAAATTACGTTTTTGATATTTTCATATTTAAAATATCAACCATTTCCTAGTAATAATCAAATTTGGTTTTTTATATTTTGATCATCAAAAGTTTTGATCGTCCGAAGTTTAAGTTGCTTTTGTTTGTGGTGGTAATGTGGATGATCTAATCAAATTTGCTTAGTTTTAGTTTTTTTTTGTGGTATAAAACTTCAGATGATCAAAGTTTTGTTTAGTTTGTGGTATAAAATTTTGATCATCCGAAGTTTTTATACCACATAAAAAAAACAAAATTTATACCACATAAAAAAAGCAAATTTGATTCTGGTTTTTATGTGGTATAAAACTTCGGACTTCGGACGATCAAAACTTCGGATGATCAAGGTTAAAAAAAAAGAAGTATCACCACTGCCATGAATCACCATCACTATGTGACAGCCAAAAAACGAGATAATAATAATTACTTTTTTAAAAAAAATTGTTTAGTTTATTTAATTTAAATATCGTCAATGAGACAATTCAAAATTACTTAATCATCATTCATTATTCTTGATTTGACATAAGTCCACTTTTTTTAAAATCATCATTCTTAGATCATTAATGTTATTAAATGAAAGAAAATTCATTAACAATGTATTATGAACGAATCAATTAATGCGAATGATATACTTGAGATGACTTCTTATCACACAATTCAACAACTAGCGCCCAAAACTATTGTAACATTTATTTCTTTAAATATTTATATACCTTCGTGCAAATTTTATTAGAAAAATTCAATAATATTAAAATTTATGGGATCCTATTTTCATATAATTGTATTATACACTGGACCATTTATGATACAGCCATTCCGAAAAAAACAAAAGAATAAATAATTAAACAAGAAAAAATTAAATTTAAAATGAGGGATAAATTTTTCTTCATTGTGTCATATAGAAAATGCTGAAAATAAATTTTTACTTTATCTGGGTAGAAATTCTAATAATTCCTTTTGGAAAAAGATTAAAATAGGTCACTCAATGCTGCAATGTATTAAAAAATCAAAATATATTGAATAATGAAATACAAGATGATAATACAACATAATAAATTTTAAACTTTTTAATTAATATCTCGAAGTTCGAAAAAATTGTGTAAAAATGTAACATTGCATTGTAACAAATAATATTATATTATAAATATCAAATGCATACCTAAATTCCTAAACAATTTTCATCTAAGCATGAATTCAGATGAAAATTATTTATTATTATTATTCTCATCATTTTAAAGAAACAAATTTTTACCTTACACGGGCTAAAAAATGACATCTCATAAAATATGCCAAGAATGCAATTAAGCATTTAATAACCTCCACGAATGGTGCCAACCAAGTAACTCTAAACATTTCCAAAATGATTTTGATAAATGGACAAGTTGAAATAACACAATAGATAAGCTTATTCAAGATGCTCAAGTAAATGCAACTGATGAGTATAGAATAATAGAATGGATACCTTATGATAGATTTAAAGATATGAATGAAATAGTAAAGGGTGGATTTGGAACGATATATAAGGCTGAGTGGGTTTATGGACGAATTATCAGATGGGATGTTGAAAATCAACTGTGAGAAAGATGGGACCAACAGAATGTAGCATTAAAAAAGTTTGATAATAATTTTGCATGTTTAAATGAAGGATACTTAAATGAGGTAAAATATTTATTAATTTCAGATATATAAATTTGTAATTATATATTGTATTATATAACAATTAATTATAAATTAAAAAAAATATATTATTTAGATAGCAATTCACTTAAAAATGAGGAGTGCATTTACATCAATTCGAATTTATGGAAATTAAACAAGATCCTGAAACAAACGAATATATTCTGGTTTTAAAATTTATGGATGATGGAAATCTTAGAAATTATTTGAAAAATAATTTTAATAATACTGGTTGGAATGAAAAATTAAACTATTTACAACAATTAGCATATCATTTTAAAAATATTCATAAATTAGATATAATACATCAGGATTTTCATCCTGGAAATATTTTATCACATCAGGAAATTTTAAAAGCCGTATTTTTACAGAAATTTTTTGTAAAATTTCCGTAGGTCCCGTATTTTTATGTAAATTATACGTATTGTATAATTTTATGTAAAATATATACATAATTTACAAAAAATATGTGTAAATCTACAATTTACACAAAATTTCAATGTGTTGTGTAAATCTATGTAATAT